GTTGACTTACGTTTTGTTTTTGAAATATTCATACCAGAGTTAAAGCTGACTGTTAAAGTGCTAATATTTTAAAAATAAAATTGGTTCCAACAAAGTTAACAGCAAATCTATTGAAATTAATAGAAAATCAAAATCATTTATACAACGTGAACGAATTTTAAGAAGAATTCTTGTTATTTTGATGCTGGTGCATGGTCCCAATTTCTAGCAAAATGAAATGAAAATTTGTCGCATTATCTAATAGTAAAAACTAAAGGCTATACCTGAAGACCAATCTGGTGAAAAATATGAATTTTTTAAAATGTTGATATCACCTTGAATAGTAATACATATACATTGAAAGTAACTCACATTATGGCTATTAACTGATATAAAATTAGTAACGTTTTACATTTTATTTTTACATTTCCATCCAAAATTTAATTGAAATAGTCAAATAATTTACACGATCAATATCTAGTTATAGATAGATATAATTCCATTACTGTTATGAATTTCGTATCCATCGTTTTCCATCCTACTTTCCTCACTTAGTCACACAGAATGAATGAAGTAGTACAATTACAAATGTGAAAACTGTAGCAAAATGTCAGTAGCCTACATTAAAAGAGCATTTTCTACAAAGATCGATACAAATTCATTATATATTATATTTATTATAAAGTGTATTTTTGTGCAAAACTTTAACATAAAACTATCATGAAAAAAAAACGCTTTGAATTGTAGAAGCAAGACACGTTATTACATTATCTTCGCAGAATTGGAAAGTTGACCATTAGTAGTTGTCAAAATTGTCGACAATCATCCTTTAGATAGGACCATTATAGAACAATAATGCGAGACTAATCATATATGGTAGCATTATAGAATATAAAAAACAAAAGAAATATATTACGGCGGTTGGTTTAGGAAATATGCAATTTCATTAAATTATGATCCAAGTTCTTTATTTATCACTTTTTTTTACTGAATCACTATTTTGTTTTCCTGAATTATGATTTCTGATTTCTTTTTTTTTTCTTTTTTCTATTTTTTTACTTTTTTCAAATTTTGTGTTAATTCTAAAAATTAAAAAAAATTAAAACAAAACTCGTTAAAAGTTAATTATGTTCTACATGAACTACCGTAGTAATATCTATGCTCTATTTATAACAATTAGAATTTACATACTGAATAATTGTAAATCATATACATGTACTAGAGTATATATGATGTTAAAGTATATTAATAAATGCAAACTGAGCTGTCTGTAAATCTAGAATAATAAATATTATTTCATAGAACCGTATATATTGTGGTAGATTTGGCATTATAAAACAGAGCTACTAATTAATTCTGAATTCAATAATTTTACTGATTTTAGAATGTATCGATGTAGTACATTAAAGGATTTCACTTTGAGCCTTGGGTCAGTTTTACTTAGGTTGAACCTAAAAGGTTTAGAAATTGAAAAATTGTGAAGACATTTTCATGTGTATAACATATTGTAATAGACTCATCATTGGGTGAATATCTAGGCATGACTGTGGAAAGAATCTTCAAAATGAACTATTTACATCTTGCCATAACTTCACTGAGAATAATTGCAACTACAGATTTGAAAATTGATTGTATTGTATAAACGATGGTAATCAACACGAAATTGAGCACGAAAAACATGAAGAATGTTATAATATAGTTAATGAAAGTATGAAATGAAAACATTTTCAATTTTCTTTTATGAACGAAAATGCGTTAATCACAGGTTTTTTACGTTGGATTTTGTGACATTTTTGAAAATGCCTTGAAACCGCCAAAAGTATGTCATTTGCAATTTTTTATTAGGATTGGTATTTCTGAAAATAATTACTTCTTGTGATTTAATGAAACATATATATTTTTTAGCGATACTGGTCTTTAATCAGGAAAAATAAGATTGTATTTAATTAAAATCCTCTCCCCACCGAGGATTGTTTCTGATTAAAAAGTAGGTATATCGGTTTATAATAAAGTACGGGACCAGGAGTAATCTCAAGATTTGATTTCATTGTGAAAACTTTCAAAGCTTATATCATATTTTGGCATTTAACCTGTTAAACTATTTATCAATATAATAAAAGCAGAAAGCTAAAACAAAAACAAAATTATGACAATATTATATATATATTAATACTAAAATATGGAATTGAAACATGTTGACATTGAATATTAACTATCTTTAACGGTGTTATCATCTACTTTAACTATATATATATAAAATATATGATCAGAGTTTCGAAAAGGAAATACATAGAAAAGGGTGGTAAATTGTATGTTGTGTCTCAAACCAATTACATTGTACGTAATATTAGGTAAACGTGCTATATACTTTGTGATTAAGGGAAATGACAAAATAAACTTGTTAACTATAGACCTACATGTGTCGTATTTGTACTTGTTGTGGTATCACAGACATTGGGCAACATCGTGGATCTAACGTGGGTCAAACGAGTTCGCTAATGTTATTAGTAGAGAAGACAAAACGTTCGTAAAGTAACTTTGCTACAAGGCCAAATTGACATATATTTCTGACTTATAATCAACTGCTTACTAGCTCAACCAGTCATAAGATTTAGATCATTATACTTGGCGATTGGTTTTCAAATGAGGATGGAATGTTTGTATAAATTATTCGAGAGAAAGGAAAAAAGGGTTGTTAGCTGATAAAAAAGATCTGAGAGAACCTTAGGTAATGAATTTTGGATTGAGAGAATGATGTTAATCTTATTTGATCATTATCAAGATTGAATTTGGCTTGTGAATAACGATGTTGAGCTCTTTTACTGTTATTTCATGTCAAGTCTTCATTTTTTATCATGGTTAAACTTTGATAGCTGAAAATGATGAGTTTTTTGTTTGCCTGTCTGCTCTGCAAGGTGCTATCTAGTGTTGCCAGAGTAAATATACTGAACAGATATGTAAACGTCGCAAAGTACAGGAAGTAGTAAACTATGTACTCAAATGTCAATAATGCAATAGATAATTGTCAGAAAACAAACCACGTTGGGTTATTTGAAGTGTTTTTCGTATTATTGCAATGCCATATCGATGATCTGTTCACTGAACCCCTGTATGGTCTGTGACCAGACAGGTTCTGGGAGGCGAACCGATTTCGTAGTGTCAGCACTTATAGGTAGCCCATAGTGGCCAATGGTCTGGCAGCTGTTGCCGCAGGATGAGATGACCATTGTGTGGACGGCCATTGGAGCTGCTGCAACGAATCGGAAGTCTTTCAATGGTTATTATATACCACAGGCAAAAAGCATTGGCAATTACATGGGTACATCGTCCGGCATTTAATCATGTCTATATTGTTGGGGGTATGAAGTGTCATGATTGCTGTCGTCACAAAGGAACTGTATTTTCAATAGGTATCCAGTGGTTTTCAGTACCTGGCACTATCTCTGGCACTGTTACGCAACTGGAATATAAAAATAACATAATTTAAAAATGCTACTTTCTTTTTTCTTCCATTCTTATCTGGAATTTGTGCAATGTTTGTAATAAGGAGTAGTATGTATATATATGTTGACAAAATACCTTTTCAATCTTTTATTTACTATTGCAAAAGTTGATTTAGTTTTTACATCTTTCATAAATTACAAACTAAACATATTACATTAAATATAGATTTACAAATTAGCATTCTGTAATTCATTAATTTCTGAAAATTTCACTCTATGAAGGTATAATTCTCTCATTTTCTATATATATATATGACTAAAGCAAATATAAACAAAATTAATTTAAAATCTTATTAGATTTCCTAAAATATCATCATATTATACTATAGTGTATTATCTGTAAATACCAGTGGATTTATAATAATAAGCGGATTTCCAACATACTTGAGAGTAAGTTCTGATACTTTCAGGTATAACTATAATAAGTAAAGATACATTCTATATAATCATATATATAATAATGATGAAATCACTTTATGCTGTTCCTAGTTATGTCCAAGATTTGAAGAAATGATTGAGAATGTGTAAAATATTTGACCTCTTTATAGCCTTTTTCCTATAGCTTTCAATTACGAATGACAAATTCTGAGTATCTTCTATAACATCTAATGCTCACAAAAAAATGATAGATTTTTTCAAACTGAGATACAAAATCATTATTCATTCATTTGATTGTTGATATCAAACCATTCCTAACATCATGATTCTACTTACGTATAAATAGGGGGAGAACAAAATTTTACAAGTAGATAAGGTGCAATAAAAATGATTGTGTCTAATGTAATTACAATTGCCCTTTTCATTTTTAAAATAACAAAATGTATATCAATTAATAAGTTAATGCTTTAAGTGGTTAGTTCACACAACAGTTAAATATATATAGGAAGTACCAAACCTAATTCTGTACTTAAACCTGATTTTTGGAATTCCCATTGGTTGACCTACTAACTGTTCTGATATACTAATTACCATCAGTATATTGTCATTAAAGGTCTTAGTCTTAAAACAGATAGAATAGATCAACATAATATCTGGATCTTATAAGAGTTTTTAAACGACAACAAGTAAAATGATAAGAATTGTTTGGTCTCAACTAATATAATTATTGTATTTCAGATGTGTTTACTACACTACATTGGTTTACACTTATACTAAAAAAAAAAAACAGGCCAAAAGGATCCATGACACAACTAACTTTAACTACATAAAGGCAAATTTAACAACAACAAAATATAAATAAAAAATAAATTTTGTTAAAAAATTTAAATATGATATGATGTCTCTTGAAATCTACTGAGACACTCCGAGACTGAGAAGTCCCGGCTTAAACACATAATCATAAGTTGATATTTAAGAGACAAATCACTAACTTTGATATTTTAAAAATGATATTTGATATTTTATCAAAATGTGGTAATAAGTTCTAACAGCAAAAGAACCAGAATTAGGTTTAGCTTCTCCTATTAATAATAATAATAACAAACTCTTTATTTTACATGGGTCAGAATAAGGTCCATTACACCAAGGTGACATTGTTCTAGAAAATGATCTTTAAAGGGGCATTAACATTTTTATGTAGAACAAAATTATTTTGAGCTCAAAATAATGAACACTATACATAAAAATCTAGAGAACTAGTCCCTTAACATAACTAAACTTTAACTAAAAAAATTCTACCCTTAATTTTTTATGCTTTTTATATTACTAAAAATATTGAGTATTTACGTGACCCATCACCAAAACTAGGTCAAACTGGTTAATTAATAATTAGTACAAATTGCTTTTCATTAACCCTTTCAAAAAAATCAAGATTGGTTAAGACGATATATTTTGATGTAAAAAGCATATACCAAAAATACTTTCAGATATAGTCTACGATGTATTTAATAATAAAAAATTTGCATACTGCCCCTTTAACAAATATTGATCAATTTGCTGCAATAATCTGAAAGATGGCATATAAATAAACATTATCTAACATGTGAGTTCAAACAGATTATATTTTATATACAATATATTAAAACATGTCTCTTAATTAACTAAATGTCTTTTAATATACTTTCTTGAAGGAATGATCGGGCATCTGCTAATTCCTGAAAGAAAAGGAATATGTGAGTAAATTTTAGAGGAAGGGGTTAGATAAGACAGTTAAGTATATTCTTATGCCTACATGTTTTTACACCATTACCTACCCTTAGAGGGATGATGCAGTACTTTTTTGCGATTAAAATTTGGTGGTCTGCTAAAGCTAACAATTCAATTTACTTCAAGGGCAATTAATGCCATACTAACTTTATTTCCAATCTTGAAAAGGGATGGTGTAAACTTAAGCTAGCTCAGCTACTTCAGGAACAAATGAGTCAAAAAAGAGCTCCTTGCAAACAAATTAAAACATGAGTCTGAGGAGGTATAGTTCTGATTGGTGTAAACCAATTTTTTGTAACATGTTAATAAATTTCTTCAAAATCAATTATGAATCTAGGATAATAAGACATACCTGAGGATGTGAGCTATGCATCATAGGATAAGTTTTAAACTGATGTTTGGTAGAAAATGATGCTATATATTGGCTGGTCATCTGTCCCCATTTCACAGGTACAACCGGATCATTTGTACCATGACATTGCAATATTGGTGTATTTTTATTGTTTTGTTCATTCTAAAATAACAAACACTAGAAGTTAAGATAGTGAACCACAGCCATATACGCCCTTCACGGCATGCGGATGGTAAAAACGAAACATACATTTTAAGTTTCATCAAAATCGGTTGAAAACTAAGAGAGTAATAGCATATTCAAGATTTTGGGGCAAGGGCAATAACTCTGCTTCTAACGGTAGAAATAGCTCAAATTTTAACTTGATCTTCGTTTTATGAATATGTATACACATACCGAATTTGATTCCATCAAAAAATCTAGATTTTAGAGCGTTTACAAGCAAATGTTGACGGACAGACGGACGGATGGGGGTGTCGACAAGACAATATAAAGAGATGTGAGCGTATAAAAATGAATATATGTGTTGGCTTCAATGACCTGTGCATAGTTTGTCTATCATGTCACTACATGTATATGATGCATATCACAATTTATGGACTATGATAAGATAGGTATCTCAATATCGAGTAACTAGATAAAATGTAGCACTTTATCTTCAAAGTTTCAATGATTTTTTTTACTACTCTATATTTCTTCGTACCTCTATTTGTTGAGATGGTCAAGTTCAGTTTTATCATCTTGACATTCGACTGGCCCATTAAAAGATGCTTTACACTGCATATGAGTAAATGACATGGCTTTACTCTTAATATTTCATTTCATCTCTTTTTTGTGAGCTACTTCACTTATTTTTGACAATATCTTCCTTCAAATCCGCTTTAAAGGGATTGTAAAGAGGTTTTCTAGCCTTTTTATGTGTATCGGGACACTGATGTAGGTTGGTAACATCAACTCAGGTTAACTCTTTCTGAAATCGCAGGAACCACAGGCATCAGATGAAGAATTGGAATGTCCCAAAAGTCAAGGTGTCTCCGATACACATAAAAGTCTAGAAATCTCTACAATCCCTTTAACATAAATTCGCTGTATCTGGTTAAGTAATATATAGTACAAAATACTCGTTTTAAGTAATTTCTGTAAGCTATTGAATAATTGAATAATTTATTCCTCTCGTTCATGGAAATGTTTCATGGACTTGAATATGATATGTACCTTACAGAACTATAGCACAAATTCTTTCTTAATTTTAAAGCATTTTGAGTTACAATTTATTCCAACTTACCGCTGCTACCATTTTCTTATAAAGTGGCATCCATGCACTGAATATAAGTAAAGCACCTAAAGGTCTGTTTGTACTGTAAGCTGTGTGCAGAGCAACTGCTCCCCCCTGAGAAAAACCACCAACTGCAATACGCTCTGAGGGAATTCCAGACTTTTCTTCCTCTGTTACCATTGCTAATACTGAAATTAAAAAGACATAGTAAAGGCATTCACTTATTTTACTCAAATTGGTGGAGATAATGAAGACCAGCAACATTATACATGGAACAATGAGACGAATTTTACCAGCAGAGGTATAAGCATATTCCTGTTAATTGCCGGGAAAATACACATACTGAAGACCTTGGTTTATTTATTTCAGTCATACAAAAAGACACCAGTCTCTCCAGGGTGCTTCACAGAAAGGGGGACTGTCTGCACTAGTCCACACGCTGCAGAAACTCCATTCATTTCATTTACAGAAAGTTGAAAAATCCGAAGGTATTATCTTAACCTATGTCTGGATAAACTCTGAATCTCCAGGTTCGGAAGGATACTATTTTAATGTGAATCAGAAACCTATATATAAACCTAAATCAGATATTAATCATACTGTGGGAACATATTGCAAGGGAGGTAACAAGTTGAGAAACAGGGTCATCATTTCTTGTTTGTGCAGTTATATTAATACTTATGCAATCACATACTTTTTACAACTTTGACCAAAATATTTGATGAACTCACATTTTGCTGAAGCTTGTTTGATACCATCTTCATCTTCTGGGCTATCAGGAGACAATCCTTTAATATCAAACCTGCCATAGATAGAAAACATTCTATACTGCTGATGATTGAATTATTGCACTAAAGCAACATAATACCACAACAGCATATGTACCACTAAACATTATCAGTTAAAAATCATCATGTACAAAGTCAGTTCCATATATATGTTTATATTGTAAAGAGCATACAGTCACAGCTATTGATTATATCAAATAGACAAAAATTGACAGTTCGATTCCCAACTTACCATGCAGGCATTGGCATTCCAGCATTCAGTGACACTGGTCTTATAGGACTGAAAACAAAATTTGAACTGATCAAAATAGTGCACATATTCTTGTCTTTCGAAAAAGAAGCCATGTGGCATACTTTCTGAGCATCAAATTAAATTTACAAAATAACAGAATTTCTCACGCATGATATAACATGGGTCATGATTCTTTTAGCAGTAAGATGAGATGACTGATAAAAAGAGAAATCATCTTATCTATGATCTAGAAGTACAGTTTATCAGTATAGCTAAACATGCAACATGTCAAACATCCTTAAAATACATCCTAACATCCTTAACAATAGCAAACCTTTGAGTGACCATTTCAGTTATTCTGTTGAATTAATGATCGTTTCCATTTTAATATGTACATGTTTTTTTTCTTGTGATCTGAAAAGGTGTCTCAAAGAACACTAATACAGCAATTTTGTGGTAAACTAAAACTTACGCTGTAGGGCAAATTATCTTTAAATTTTTCAAGTCTAATGATGCCAAGACATCAGACCAACCATTTCTGAAAAATTTTTTAGTTAAACCAGGGACAAGCAAATAAATGTCATATTTCTATATCAAATAAAATATGGCTATTTTCAATCATATTAAAAAGAAAATCAAAATTTTAGAAAGTCTAGAACAAATCTAAAAGAATTGTCAATGTCTTCCTTTTCTATGGAATATCTGAAAAACTTCATGACGAAGAGATTTGTCAAAATAAAAAAGTTTGCAAAAGGGATTATCCAGAACGTAGGTAAGGGCTGTGCAAATGCATGTATCCTTCTTTTGCAACATTATGTGCTATAAAAGCAACCATTTTTAACAATTAACAAGGCAATTTATTTACCCAGTATCACCAAGTCCATGAAGAAATATAAGCTGAAATGTAATAAAAACACAAATTCAACACTTTGTTTGCTATAGCCTCATTATTCATTGAGTATAACCTTGAAATCTTAAGTCATTTGATTCAACCAATTATGTGACGCAATTCATCTATAGTCTATAAGACCATATACATTTGGTATGTTTGACTCGCAAAATCTTTTTCATATATCAATTCAAATGATAAAATAGATAAATTTGGATTGGGATAGCCTAAATAATGCAACTTAGAATAGTAAGTCTTTTCAAAGATCAGACCCAATCACGTAGCATGAATATACAGTCAGGTAACCCAATTTCGTGCTTCTCCGGAAATGATTAATAATTTTCATGTGCGACCTCTTGTGACCTCTGCATTTGCATGTTTTGATAAACATGGTTTTTTTGCTAGTAGAATGAATCCAAAGTAGTTTCAACAAGGTAAAATGTATCTATGTCTAATTTGACAAACACAAAATGGCGGATTTCAGTCACAATTTTTTATCGGCCGAATTTCCTTAAAATAACAAAGCTGTCAGAAGAAAAATTCTATGGAACAGAATGTGGGATGTATTCTTATGTTGTTTCAATGACTTTTAGCAATAAATTATTCTTACGTTTATTTACTAATCTTATTTTGTCAATCACTATTTTTTTTAAAATTATTGTTCTTTCAAGGAATTGTCACTAGTTATAATGAATTGATATTAAAGGTAAATACTAAGAGAAGTTAATTATACCACTGAGTATCCATACAACATGTTTTTCTCGACTTATTTATAGATCAAACATTGTACACGATAATAGATGACGCATTCTGCCGTCGTTGTCGAGTTGGTTACGCATGAAATATGAGTCAAAGTGAGGGATTCATAAAGAACTTCGAAACAAACCAATTTTGATTATTTTGTAGAATATTTGCGGAAACATCTAAGACATAAAAAAAAAATCCTGTTTTTACAACTTTGATGAAATTCAGTGTTTAATCCTTATATGCACGAAAATAGGTTACACCACTGTAATAATAATGCATTTTTTATGCACTTGGCTTGGCCTATACACACTTATAACCATCATAGATGAACCAACCTTCATTTCATAACAATATATAAAACCATTTGAAGCAGTATTCAGAAGAGTAATTAAGTAGCGTATATCATTCTTGTCTTAGCATTATCTCTCATAAATTTAATATTAGGCTATGCCTACTAAGACTAAGAGAAGGAGAGTGCACTTACTGAAGCTTTGTGGGGACCTTTAGGTTGGATTATAACGGGAGGGGGCATATCTTGGGACGAGGAGGCGCCCATGCACCGAATAGTACCAAACAAACTTGCAAAACACAAAGATTTAATCCCAATCACTCCCAAATTTGGGCGACCATGAAATGAAATCAGTTTTCTTGTGTGAAAATAGAGATCGATGAACATCGGAAGAGAGTAATGATGATATTCATTAGACGAACGTTCGCGCACCTGCTGACCGGAAGTCGTCATTTTCTGATCGTGTTGACCCGAGACCCAAATTCTAATAAAACGATTCATTTACATTGACATACGAAGACACATTTTGCCTTTCAGGTACACATGGGCCAATGATATCGTAAATGGTTTGTTTAAATCAATTTTATAAACAAATCGTTATAAAATATTACTCCAGGATTCAGTTTGTTAGATGATCAAACTTGTTCCGAGTGACCCGATTGATTTTATTGACTTCCTAAAAGATACAGGACTGAACAGTCTAAAACCGGAACGAGCAGTCATCACGTTTGTTGAATCAAAACTCTACCTGTCTTTGTATCTTATTTTGAAGGTATTGTATAGGCTAAGTCTGCAGTTTGTAATCTGAGAGGCCATCAAAGATTTGCCGCGAGTATATGTCAGTGACCTTGATATGTCAGTAATACTAAATAGTGCTAGGCTTTTTTGTTATCAGGTCTGCAGTGACAGTCTCAACATGAAATTCATTCATAGGGTAGTCCGAAAAGTTCTGCATAGAGTAAACCGTCGCTAGTATTCTACCAGGTTGGGTACTAATGATTTACCATGCTGTGACTTTTTGTCAAACTGATTTGTTAATTTACAAACAATCAAAATTCATATTCCTTTAGTGGCATATTAGAAGCACAAGTTATAGATAATAAATAAGACAATTATATGGATATACTTCTGGAATATTTATTACTTCCAACGTTTCAATGTGGTTCTTGATCACACCGTCATCAGGAATATAATCAAAATTCATGCTTCAAAAGCTTGACATCTGACAAGGGCAGTGTGTGGGAGCATATTTTAACTGCACATTCGTTACCATACACCTTTCACCCTTTCTTTCGATCCTTTTCTGATCGATCTGATCAATAGGCCCGGTATCTTTGTCTCAGAAACAGGGAATGTCCAGCTATTGTACATGTATAAACACAATAAAAAGTTTTTTGAATTTTGATCATTAAATTCTTCACAGACAAAAGACAATGATGAAAGAATGCCATTGTGTTGCTAAAAACGTACATAAATCCACACGTCACTAATCCCAACTTCATCTTTTGGAGACCAAAAGTTCTACATTTTCACTCTTACGCTTCCTAAAATTGTGCTTCTTTACTAATTGAGGAATTTCCGTAGTGTGACGCTAGTGTGACGCTAGTGTGACATAATTTCCTTTTAGGCTAATAGTAGTTTTTAGACCATGCCATTTTCCAATAGGGCTGGTATGTGGAAATATTCTTTATCGAAACTTTTTGTACATGATGGGAACAATAAATAGCGACTATTTCACTTCTCTGAATGATTGAATGATATATTATTTTATAATAATGTTTACAAAGCCAAAATACAAGAATGTGAAACTGAACGTAAACCTTCTATCTACTATTAATTTACAGTGTTCAATAACTTATTTTTCAATTACTTTGATTAGAACACAACTCTATGATATACTGGTACTATTCCTGGATTTTACCGCATGCAACAAAATAATGGAATTAGGGGAGGTGGGAATAATTGTCTAGAAATATTTTTGTTTTGTCCTAGCCAAATTTCGAAAGACCAATACAACCACCCTTGTTGAAAAAATAGATTTGGTCCTGGATGGGGCACAAATCTTGTCGGATATGACATAACTATCATGGAATCCCTCTTCTTAAATTTTGTAAAGTGTGAAAATGTAGAGATTTTTTCTCCTAAAGTAAAATTGGAATTATTGACGTGTAGATATATGTGTATTTTTAGCAATGCAGTGGTATTCTTGTAGCATCGGTAAGCTTACATCATTGCTTGTTTGTCTGTCAAGCATATAATGGTCAAAATTCTAAAAACTTTTTACTGTGTTTATACAATAAGTAATTGTGATAATTTTCAATACGTGGTATCTAATTTTATATAACTAACTGTGGTTCGAAAGATATATGGAATGCAATTTAAATTTTCATGATTACTTTTCTGTTTGTTTGTGGTAACACACTATATTTTTGATGGTACGGGTATTATGATTCACTTTATGTTCTTTCTTTAGACTTTAAAACTGCTAGGGCCAGAAAATGGCAGATATTAACAAATTGGTATTTTCAATTTTACAATTTCTAAAAGAACAAACCATGACTGGAACATTAGATGATGATGCAGTAGAGAGTTTAGAGGGTAAGTCCAGCAATGCTACTACATGTATATATTCAAACTAGTAAAGTTTAAGTGGTCACAGCCATGCTTGAAATATGGACCTTACTGAAGGAAAGTGTTAGGGGCTTAGTTTGAATCATAGGCATGACATAACTTTATGCATTGTATCTGACACTATGTCAGATTTTATTGACTTTATTTGACTTTATTTCAGTTGCTATTCAGTGTTTAGAATCTTCTTTTAAACTTGATATGAGTAATCCTGAGACAGTGGCTAAATATCAAGTTCAGAGAAATTTACTTGATATTTTTAATTCTCAGTTAAGTAATGAGGTGAGTGGAATTCCCAATATTTGTGGTCATTGTATGTAGAGTACAGATACTTATGAATACATAAGCATAGCATGGCATGAATTTCAACGATACTCCTTTATGGTGTTTTTAAGAGGTGCACCATTATTTTTAACCAATCATACCTTGGTTTCAGAAACAGGAATTTTTGAATTAAATTAATCAGTAATAGTCATAGAAATTTGAAGCTTCAAATCTATGTGTGTCCAATTTTATCCAAAATTTGAAAGTTTGATGATAACTCGTCCTTTCTTGAGACTGCCATATATTGAAAAGATCAACTGAAAATTGCAAACCATGGCCTTTAACTCCATTTGATTCTATTGACAGCCTGATTCAGATTTTTCCAGTTTATCCTTACATGAAGCTACTGATAGTGAAAAAGCAGAAGCTGAACAGTATAAAAATAAAGGTGAGAGTACTGTCTCCATTCCAAACTCTTATGGCCATAGTCCATTGAAACTTTTTAGGTGAAAAACTGTAATTCCACAATGTTTATTTTAGATGAAGATTTTACTAGCAGGGCAGAGTAATCTTTTCACTAGATTTTATTTAGTATTTTTAGTATAATTTTGAAATATCCTTTGTAGGAAATGATTTTATGAAAAGTGAGAAATTTTCAGATGCTCTGGAATGTTACAGTAAAGCTGTCAAATTAGACAGTAAAAATGCAGTGTATTTTTGTAATAGGTAAGTTTTACTTTCTTAGTCATGGAAGACCAACAGTTTCTAAATGAAGGTTAAATTTTCAATAGTTAAACTGAATGAGTTTTTGAGCGAAGTAACTCACTGTGAAAGATTGAAAAATCAATGAGAATATTTAATACTACGAAACTCATCTCACATAGTCAGTTCAAGCTCTTGTTACCAAGTCCTTATTGAGCACAGTTGATTTTATAAGGGTTAACAAGAATATTATCAGTAATATTTTTCTGAATGCTGCTCTGAAGGCAAGGGTGTGAAAATTTTTGGCCTTAATATTGTAGAGCAGCATCATATAGCAAGTTAAATAAACATCAACAAGCTATAGAAGATTGTAATAGAGCCCTATCAATAGACTGTAATTATAGTAAAGCTTATGGAAGAATGGGGTAAGTTTTCATTTTGTTTGACTGATTTATTTCAGTTTTATTCCTTTCATACCTACAAATTTGCAAGCTTATTGTTTCATCTTTACTCTTGGACAATGACCATGGTTTTTGAAGAAGCTACGTCAGATGCATGCTTCATGCAAATTACCCTAAAGATTTCAAAATATATTTTAATATGTCTCAGGCCCTTTTTTCTGTCAAATAACCAGACAAAGTTTCTTTTCAGAATTGCTTATACAGCTTTAAATGATCATGAAAGTGCTCGTGAATGCTATAGAAAAGCTTTAGAACTAGACCCTGATAATCAAAGCTACCTTAACAACTTAGAAATATCAGAGCAAAAACTAAGGGAAGCAGCTGCAAATGTAAGTAATTGTTTTAATGCTAGTGTGTTAAATTGTTATAGAAAATAGATGCTACAAATGTATTCAGAACTTTTATGTGAACATCTCATTCAAATGCACATCTAAATCTGCCAAACAAATGGAGAGATTAGAATGATAAGCAAGTAGGAAGGGGAAATTGAGCATTATCAGTTGGTAAAGCAATATCTTCAAGTGGTTTCCAAATGTCATGCCAAGACTCTGTGCTGTGTATGAAATGTTATATTTTATCTGTATTAGGCTGGGTTTGCAGCAGGTCCTGGTGGAATTGATTTGGCAGGGATGTTAAATAATCCAGCCTTAATGAGTATGGTAGGTAACAGATCTTCTTTTGTACTTTGTATCACAGTGTCACACACATTCCAATGATTAAAAGAATACTACCTCAGAATGGACACAAAAATCTCAACTTGGTCAACATGTGTATATATTCATCAGTTGGAATTACCAGGTGCCATGACTAAAGAATACAATCTCTGTACAAGACAATATATCAATTTATTGGATTGTAGGGGAATTCTGTCATATAGTTTTGATACCATTTAAGTCCACTGATGAACAAAGTTTAATAATTTCAATTTTTTGGGTCATTTTAAGAGGTAGTATACCTTTAAACATCCTTGTAAACTATTCTAAGGAATGTGTGAAGAGTATGGGAGTGCGTTCCATGTCCCAAAGAGAATTCTTAAAATTTTGGCATGCATAAGTTTTTGTAACACCTACTTCCTATGCTTTACTAACACTGCCAATCACTGCCAATGGTGCGTGTCAAACCTTGAACAAGTTCCAAACCATATTTAACTGATAACATAAACAAGAAACGCCATTAAGCCACCGATTTTTAAGACATGCATTGCATTAACTTTCTATTAATGTATGCATTGCATTAACTTTGTGTTAATGTCTGTAAACTGTTCTAAAGTTACTGTCAAAAGAAGTACTTATTTTTTTTGGATTGTATCTAATAAATTTTTTTTTGAATAATGTAGGCTTCACAGTTTATGTCCAATCCACAAATGCAACAAATGTAAGTAGACTTAGATACTTTGGAAGATAAACTGCCATGGTCCCTCCTCAGACCATAAAATTTATTCTATTTTCACTTCCAAAACCACTTGATGTATTCTCCAGCTTCCTAGATTAGAAAATTATCCATGGTGTGGCCTAAATGATTACTACCTCCTATGCCACTGATTTCAAGAAGTGGACAAAATTCTGTATGATTAGCATTTATTATGATAAATATAAATTGGTGATTTGATGACCAACATCAAACTGTACGGATGTGGGGAGTGTTTTATTATGTTATTTATTCATAATATAGAATGTAAGCAATAGTTTAAATGGTTTAATATCAGTGATACATTTACAGACAGTAGGCCATTCGGCAAGCCTTTCGAAAGAGCTTGATCATAATCATGTGTCCATAGTGATGACGCCATACAGCGGGAAATACAAACTTGTTATCTAAGTTATCATAATACAACAGGGAGCACAGGAGGTAGTATGTAGTAAAAGTTCCCTTTGCAACAATCGCAAGTTTTTTTTATTATGAGTAGTGGACATATAGTTCCCTACAGCTTTCCAATATACTGTCTGTAATACTCACTGTTATATATCTGTTGCAGGATGAGTAGTGTATTATCTGGTAGTCAAGGTGATATGGCTTCTGGTGGTCTCAATCCTTTATTACAGGCGTAAGTATTTTAAATGTGTGCTTTCTATCTGGATGCACTTTGTTAGATTCAGCAGAATTGCTGGGAAGTTAACTTATTTGAATGTAGCAGAAGTACATTTAAAACCACATTTCCCTTAATATCTTATCAAATCTTGAGACGTGGTATTTTTGTAATGTCATTTAATCAACAATGTTGTTTATAAATATAGAGGACAACAGCTGGCAAGTCAAATGCAGCAACAAAATCCTGAATTAGTAGCTGAATTACGACAGCAAATAAGTGAACAGGGAAGCAATCCTGCAAACCCTACCCCAGGTTAGTTGTGTATTGTCTGCTTTTGAATTTTGATTGCTTTGTCACCAATTGCAGTGAAGTTGTGATAATATTTTTAATCTACCTCAAAGCACTATAATTAGACATGAGGTAGTATATAACTGAACTTAAAAGACTTGTTTTAGATAATTGATGAATATTACTCTTTCAGATTCAAATGGTAGTGGGCAACAGCAGTGACAATTTTCTGGGTATTATTAATAAAAATATTTATACTTGTACATAAATATTTAGCTCGTGTTAGGTGTAAAACATCTGAAAAACTTCCTGTGTCCATGGTTTGCGAGAGTTACTGTCTACCAACAGTTGTCAAGTTTATCTGTCATTCAGTAATAAATCAATCAAAATTAGTAGTGATTTCCAAACTTCATACTTTGATGTTTATTTCATTGAAATGAAAACCGTTGTCTGTCTGAACAGTAATCTAATGGTAAATTAAATTAAGCAATAATTGGAGCTTTTGTTGAATACAAAATTTATGGTCATATAGGAATTTACTGTGCCAGAAGACTTCTGTTAGTGGACAGTATGAAAGAGAATACACTATTCAAAAACGACTGGAAAATGGTTCACATTGAGCCATATTTTTCTTAATATGTGTGTGATGCTTCATGGTTTGGATGCAAGATTATTGTTTATGGTTTTTATGTAGCTTTTAATAATTTTGTTTCATACAACTGCCATTCCACATAATTTAAAGGATTCTTTCAAGTTTATTTTCTTTGTGATCAGAGTATAATAATTTGAAATATGGTGGCAAATCCAATGTTATTTTAGTCAAAAAAACAAAAGGCATAGAGTAGTTTGAAATTTTGGTTAATAGAGAAACTTAATCCAGATTTGTGACTGTGATACACATTTTGATGATCCTGTAATTTCTGTGCAACTCTTTTGACAAGTCCTAGATTCCATCTCCAGATTATGTGAACATCTATTTTGTTAAATATACAGTAGTTCATTCAAGAAAATAAAATATATATTCTAATCTAACTTGTTTTTTGTACAAGATCAAACTGAAAAAGTGTTTTTGATTGTAACATTCTATTTCTTTCCATGTCAACATATTCCATAAAGCTGTGTCAAATTAACAAGATCAAATTTTGATCTGCATGTTAGGAGATAATACAACTTTGCCAAAGTCTGGACAATTTGCAGTGGAAATGCTCTGATATTGATATACTTAACAAATTGTACAATGAATTCAACATTTAATATAGAATATAAGTCTTTATTTCAATTACTTGATTTCTAAATAAAGAAACGGGCTAAAATATTTTGTTTCTCTTTCTACACCTGATAGCAACTTGTGGATTAGACGTTTCAACATAAGTAATTGCGATCCTATAAGACCCATTTAACCCATATCAAATATTATTCAACACTAAACATATATATATTGAAGATTTATTTCCTTAACTAACATCATTTATGGTTTTGATTATTTTACATTAAGTTGAAGGTCCTTCATTCTGTAAACTCTCTGCCATGAATAATTTACCAAGACTTTGGGTAGCGAAACTGGATATTTGTTGACAATAGTTATCTATCTGTCCAGAAAATAATAAACATTCTAATCTTGGTGGTGATGGTATAGGTTTAAATAATTTATTTAGGTCTTCCTCTGGTAATGGTGGCTCTCCTCTCTGAGTCCTCAAGGCGTTATCTTGTTGCTGTAAAAAAGCAATGGCATTGATTGAAATGTTGTTTCAACATAAACTACATAAGCACTGACTATAAACAAAAAGACAAAATTAATGTGCTAAGCAGGGGCCATAAGGTTTAACCATAAATGAACCCCAGAATTTACACTAATAAAGACCTGCAACTTTTTTTAAAACTCAGTGAGCTAATGAAGATGGGCTGTACCTTACATTGTGCAATGATGCAAATCTTACTGAGAATTACGTACTGACCCTTTTCTGAATATGCTGTTGCTTTGCCTGTTGTTGTCTCATGATTTGTCGTTGACAATTTATATATTTATTAATATCCATTGTGGTAGCATCAACACATTCCATCAATTGTCTTAAATTCTTCTGTAACATTGAGCTGGTTTTAAAAACATAGAGACAGAAATAAGTCAGAAGTCCTGTGTGGAAGATATGTAATAGACTTTACCTTCTTTGAAGACTACAACTATTAAATTGTCTTCATGAAGGTTATGATCAGGGCTGTTGATTTATTTTTTTCTCAACCGGACATATTTCAATAACCTTGATCTAACAAGTTGTGATACTATGGTTGCCAAGTTGAGAATCTGCAGAGAGCAGCGACATTATTAATTGGTTAGGGATTTAAAAATTGTCTCTTGCTTGAAGAATTAACCCTTTTTTTGACTTTTTGGATCATTTTTTAGATGATTACTAAAAACAAGGAGATAATGACTAGAAGTCAAAGGTATAAGGGCAATAATACATAAGTAATAACACCCTACCTTGTTGCCAGATCCAAGAAATTATATTTATCAGCCTCCTGTTCTTCCTCTTCTAAATTACATAATAACGAATTTCCAAGATGAGAATTTTTGGTTACTACTGGAATTTCTTCAAACATTTTATCAAATGTCATACCATGTTTGGTTATGTTCTCGGTTGAAAAGTCATTTTCACTGTGAAATTTCATCATAGCTGGTGTCAATCGGTAAGCTTTCACAGATAAAAACCCTTGTGTTGTCTTTAGGGGATCTGAAATTTGACAAATCACATTATTGTAACTATTGAGTTCTGAAATGCAAAACAAAACATACTGTTACCTGCATTTTATCTATATTATTCAAATTCCTCATTAAATCTTAATAAGGAATGGCACTGCTATGCCGAAATCTCTATTCTCAATTTATTAGAAAATTTTCTACGTAACTGAAATGACAATTTACAAATTAAAATTGAATACCGTACTCACCATAAATAAGAACAACAGATTCTTCAATAGAGTCTTGATAATTAAATTGAGAATCAATCAATGGTCGGTTTATAAAGGAACCAAATAAAGTACTCTGATACCAGCCAACATGTAAATGATCTATATTAACATGGCGTAAATTACGCATCATTTCCATCTGATATTGGACTGAAATTAAATAGAGAATTCATAATTTTGTGGCATTTCAACGTTTTTGATGAAGCTAGAGAAATAATGTACCTAAATTGGTGCATTGAAATATTATTTCTTTCTGCCACGTAAAAAAATCATATAAATAAAAATATAATTAGTAATTCAGAAAATAATTTATTGATAAAAAAGCTACCGGTACTCAGAATACCTACATCTGACATCATTCTTTTTTTCAAGCCTGTAAGCTTACAGAACACATTGTACCACAACTAATTAGTTAAATGCCATTAAAATCAAATACCTTCATTGAAATCCTCTTGTTCTTCACTATGCCTGGGAAATGGAAAACAATTGGTTATTTCTAATCTGTTCTCTACAACTAAACCTAGTAATACACCTTGAACTAAATCTGTTCCACCAGCCCCTTCTTCTTGACAATGCTTTATCAATTTTAATACCACCTAAAAGATTACAGAATTACCATTATGAATATAACACCATTCACTTCATCTTCACAATGTCAAACTATTACAAGCTTAGTCAATTCCATCTTTCTGAATATATATGGGTTAGGCAGATCTGATTTAAATAAATGGATTAACAAGATCGTCAACTTCGAACTTTCCTAGGATCTCATTATTATAGATAATCACATCAAATTCCATTTAAATTGGAGGAAATCTGTAGTGTCTATTGTGTTCATAAACTAAAGATAACTTGCCATACAAAGTTATATATGCCCACTGGCAGGTTTGATTTTGAATAAAAATATTTGGCAGTACAGTACCAATCACCAGTATGAAATATTCAACCTTCAGTCATACATTTTTTTTCTATACTTTTAGGGGCGGTAGTGAATAAATCACCAAGTTTATTAAAAATCTGTCAAGATTTGGGCCTTGTATAGTGTTGATGAGCTAAATATTGAACGAGTTTCAAGAACAAGGGCAATAACTCAAAATAAATACTTTTCAATTTTTCTGTATATTGATAGGGATCATCGTTAAAGTCTGTCAATAACTGAACCTTTTAGAGTGTTTACAAGCGAAAATTGAATGCGTTTTCAAGAACAAAGGCAATAACTCACACTGAATATTTTTTTCGATATTTTAAATAGGTTTCATTCTTGGGTGATGAACATTTACACAAAGTTTCATCAAATCTGTCATTAATTGAACCTTCTAAAGCATTTACAAGCTAAAATTGAATGTGTTTTCAAGAAAAAGGGCAATAACTCATGCTAATAATTTTGTGATTTTTCTGATTTTCATCAGCGTTCATCCTTGGGTAATAACAAGCACTCATGCCAAATTTCATCAAAGTCAGTCAAGAATTGTGCCTTCTTGAGTATTGTGGACAGACGGCCATGGGTGACCCATGTGAGCATATAAAAAACAGTTTATTTACAGATCAACGGACAGACCGGCAGACAGGGGTGACATTATCATAATCTGTGTGAAAAAAGGATAATTGAATGATTGATAGTACTTGACGTGCGATTGCAAGTCTACAAAAGACAAAATCACTACTTTGACATTCCAACTAGCTCCTATCATAATCCATAAAATTCACCAAGACATGCTATACATATTATAAATGGAAATTGAAATTTCAAATATTTTTCATCAGCATGTATTTCTGAGAAATTAGAAATTTCTTATTATCAGAATCGTTATTGTATAGAGAGAAATGCGGGTCGATAGATTATGATAAAAAATGACAGTTATGTCTACAAGATATTTAAATAAAGAATATAATTACCAGGGCATCAATTTGAACATATTGCACAGGTGCACGTTGCTTTCGAGTCGCCATCTTGATTATTAGTCCGAACAGGAAGTGACAAACCGGAAGAAAGTAAAAAAAGTAGGTCAATTAGGATGACTGTTGTCTAGGATTATATAACAGTCGTAGTAAGAAGGAGTCGGGTTTGTTTGTCTATATTTGTGAATATATTTATCTTTTTGTTACAAATCAATCAATTTCCACAGATCAAAATACGAGGTTGTTATGAGAATTAGCAATGGCGAATATTTCGTACTAATAAACCACGTGATCTCCATTAAAATGTTCAGTTGCTACTTTTCGGTACACCGCCAAACTTCAAAACAGACTGCTTTCATTCTCTGCACCTTCTAAAAAACACATTTATTACAAAATCATTTGATTTTATCCGGGCAAAGATATCATCTTTCATCTAATCAGTGCAATTAGCGAGATTTAAAGTGTTGTCAGATAGGTAGAGTAGCCTAGAGTTTAACACACACCGCATGTTTGATGGTGTAGCTATCTACCACTTTGTCATTGCTTTATTTTATTTCAATTTCAATACCGATGGTAGCCTGTTTCCCTGAGTGCTATGTTGTCATAGGTGAGGTTGGGATTAGTGTCTGTTATGTCACTGTTCATAAACCTATATCATTACTAATTGGTAATTTTCACCATTAAACTAGGCCTATTAGGTCTAGGGCTCCTACTTGATTATTACGATGATATAATTTGGCTTTGTTTGTTGGCTAGTTCATGCGATACATGAGTCGTTTTGTCGCACGATTTGATTAGGTAGATTAGCTATTTTGTACATTTGTGAGAAAGTTTACCTTAACTGATTAGGCTAATCGACCTAACCTTCCCAGTTGGTGGTTAGGCATTCGATTAGGTGTGACGTCATTGGTAATTTATACTATTGGCTAATATCAATGTTGTCTAAGCTTATATTAGATGTCAAAGAATAGATGTCATTGGCTAATATTAATAGATAACCTTCATTTCTTGATAGTGCAGTCAGCCATATTGCCTAATCACTGGTATCACATTTGTGAGCCACTGCAAATCGTACTAGCTAATCGAATTGGGTGACAAAAACGGTTATGAACATGTGATATAAGTTATTACTGATATAAGGTAATACTGTTACCATTTCAGATAAAGAATGTGAAAGATCATAGCCTCTGATATTCAATTTATTTCAGAGTCATCTGTTTTAAGAATTAGTAAAGTAAAATGAAAATAAAGAGACAAAAGACGGCTTATAAGATTCTCAACTACTACAAGAACACATATGAGATTAAGTCGCCCTATAAAGTTTTGGTAGATGGAACATTTTGTAAAGCATGTTTAGCAGCTAAAGTAAATATAATGGAACAGTTACCAAAGTATTTAGATTCTGATATGACATTGATGACCACACCATGTGTCTTAGAAGAATGCAAAGCTTTTGGTAATATAATTATTTTGAATATTATTTGCACCATTTTAATTCAAATAATTACTAGATATTTCATTTTGAATTTCAGTGGCTTCTCAGTTTGTTAAAGTTGAGCTAATCTGCCATCATTTAAGTCATTGTTTGATTCTGAAAAGTTGATCTTCATCATCAAAGAGTAAGAGCACAGTCTGATTCCTTTAATGGGGTGACTTTCAACATATGACTCTTGTTAATTGTTAGCAGATTTTGGTGTGCCTAAATTTACCCTTCTCATCTTAATTATCACTTGGAGTTCCTAATTCTGTATATGTTATTTTGATTTAAATACCAAAGCTTATGTATAATAATTTTTAAACCCACATGGAAATTTGGACGTATATTGCTATGGCATGTATATCTTAGAGGAGCACAAAATTGGTTATAATCAGATGAACAGTTTCAGAGTTATTGCCCCTGACTTTGTAAAAACGCATCAAATTTAGTTTGTAGGCACAGTAGAGAATACAGTGATTATTCGATCTGGATGCCATTAGGTATTCATGCATCATATATTGATATCTCATCTCAGTCGAGTTTAAAATTGGTAACAATTGGATGAAAGGTTTAAGAGTTATTGCACTTGATTTAGTGAAAATGTAAAAGTCTTGGCTTGTAGGCATGATAGAGACTACAGTTTCTATTCGATCTTGATGAAACTAGGTATGCATGTATATGTAAACGTCAAATTTGGTTTTCAGCCACAATAAGAGTCTACAGTTTTTATCAAATTTTGATGAAACTTGGTATGCATATTTATATATTGATGAGATCTCAGTCAACTTAGAAATTGGTAAAAATCAGATGAACAGTTTCACTCTGACAGCTGTTAGTGGGCGTATGTTACCTTGCCTGGCAGATTATCTTGTACATTTTAGGATCGTTATTATATGGTCCATTAAAGGTGCTATCCCAGTATAATTTACGTCAGTGTTCACATAAACAACCAGTTGCTGCCGCACAATGTCTTTATTCATTAATAAAACAGGGAAATAAAAAGAAATACTTTATAGCAACTCAGGTAATTATTGATATCATATGCTCTTTTTATAATTAAAAAATCACAAAGAGAACATCAATCACTGCTTATTTTATGTTAAAACTAGACCTGTCTATTATATCAAAATTGGGAGCCTTGCATTTGAAAAAATATAGACATCCCAGACTGAAGCTAAATCTGTGTTATTTTACTCTATTTGTATGCGCCCACATGGAAATGTGGACGTATATTGCCGTCGCCCCTTCATGTCTATATTAATGAGATCTCGGTCAAGTTCGAAGTTCGTAATAATCGGATGAACGGTTTCAGAGTAATTGCCCTTGACTTAGTAAAAACGTGTAAAATTTGGCTTGTATGCATTGTAAAGGCTGCAATTTTTATCTGATCTTGATGACACTTAGTATGCATGTATATAATTTTGAGATCTTGGTCAAGTTCGAAATTGGAATTAATCGGATGAACGGTTTCAGAGTTATTGCCCTTGACTTAGTAAAAACGCGTTAAATTTGGCTTGTATGCATGATAAAGGCTGCAATTTTTATCTGATCTTTATGAAACTTAGTATGCATGTATAAATTGTTGAGATCTTAGTCAAGTTCGAAATTGGAAATAATCGAATGAACGGTTTCAGAGTTATGGCCCTTGACTTAGTATAGGAAAAAGGATGCAATTTTTATCTGATCTTGATGAAACTTGGTAAGCATGTATATATTGATAAGGTCTCAGTCAAGTTTGAATTTGGTCATAATCAGATGAATGGTTTTAGAGTTATTGCCCTTGACTTAGTAAAAACGCTTCAAATTTTGCTTGTAGCCATGATACAGAGTGCAGTTTTTATCTATTCTCAATGAAACTTGGTATGCATGTATATATTGATGAGATCTCAAGTTCAAAAATGGTTCAAATTGGATGAAATGGTTTTGGAGTCATGGCCCTTGAATTAATTCATTGTGTCTAATTTGGCTTGTAGGCCTAATAGAGACTACATTTTTCACATAACCACTACAGACTTTGTTATCATTTCTGACAGCTGGTAGTGGGCGTATGTTACCTTGCCTGGCAAGCTATCTTTGAATGTTGAACCTGTTTCAAGTGCTAATGTGGCAAAAATGAAGAGCGCTGCTAATTGAGAAACATAGTTCAACATGTCTCCTTAGGAAATAGGAGATGTCATGATTTAACAGTATAAGATAATTCTGTTATTTTTATTTCAGGATCCAGAATTATCCAGGAAATCTCGTGATACCAAAGGTGTACCTTTACTTTATTTAGCTTTTAAAAATATCATCCTTGAAAAACCATCAAATACCTCTAAAGGTATTGAACACGAAACAATTTCTCAAACTCAAAGCTTGGATCATCAGCTCAAGGTTGTTCAGGATTTAAAGAAAAAAATTCTTGGGGAAGAAGCAGAAAAACCAGATAAGAAAAAGAAAAAGTTTATTAAAATGAAATTAAAAAGGGATAGGAAAGACAAGAAAATGAAGAATATACCTAAAAGTGATGGTGGTGTAAAAAGACGCAAGAAACAAAAATTAAAAGTAGGAAAACATGTCCGTGAACAATGGTCCAAAAGGAAACATTAAAACTCATTTGAAAAATTCTAATTTTATATATTTTTATCATGCTTTTGTATAGAGGAAACTTTGGCATTTAGTTGCACGATTTTCATTTACCATCAAATCTCCATGGTTTCTGTCATTATCTCAAAAACCACAAGTTTCCCTCATATCTCAAGGGTGCACAGTAACTTGGTCACAGGAAATTTGGTCACCGGAAATATGGTCACCGGAAATATGGTCACAAAAATTCGGCACAAGATTTTGGTCACATGTAATACAGGTACAAGGTATTTTGGTCACAGTAATACAGGTACAAGGTATTTTGGTCACATGTAATACAGGCACAAGGTATTACGGTCACAGTAATGCAGGTACAAGGTATTTTGGTCACAGTAATACAGGTACAAGGTATTTTGGTCACAGTAATACAAGTACTAGGTATTTTGGTCACAGTAATACAGGTACAAAGTATTTTGGTCACAGTAATACAGGTACAAGGTATTTTGGTCACAGTAATACAGGCACAAGGTATTTTCACATTTTGGTCTAAGTAATACAGGCACGAGGCATTTTGGTCACAGTAATACAGGTACAAGGTATTTTGGTCACAGTAATACAGGCACAAGGTATTTTGGTCTTAGTAATACAGGCACGAGGTATTTTGGTCACAGTAATACAGGTACAAGGTATTTTGGTCACAGTATTACAGGCACAAGGTATTTTGGTCACAGTAATACGGGCACAAGGTATTTTGGTCTTAGTAATACAGGCACAAGGTATTTTGGTCTTAGTAATATTGGCACCAGGTATTTTGGTCAAAGTAATACAGGTACAAGGTATTTTGTTCACAGTAATACAGGTACAAGGTATTTTGGTCACAGTAATACAGGTACAAGGTATTTTGTTCACAGTAATACGGGCACAAAGTTTTTTGGTCACAGTAATACGGGCACAAGGTTTTTTTGGTCACAGTAATACGGGCACAAGGTTTTTTTTGGTCATAGTAATACGGGCACAACGTTTTTTTGGTCAAAGTAATGTGGGCAGGAAGTATTTAGTCATAGTAATAAAGGCATAGTATAAAGTGTAAATTGGTCACAGTTACATTTATCACCCTTAATATCCGGGAACCAGGTAGGTAGGTTGGGTATGTTGTAGAGATTTTCGAGAAGTGAAGTAAAATTTACAGAAATAATAAAATGACTATTATTGACCATGGCAGCTGAACTTTTATGTACCTGTTTTTATTTATTATACCTGTAGAAACGGCACGAGTTTTAAATAGATGTTTATTACTGAACAGAGGTTCGGCAATTAAAAGGTTAATGTAAAAGAGTCTAATTAATTGGCAGTAAGGCATGACACAGGTAGCCTAGTGGTATGAGCGTTCACCTCTGGAATGGATGGTTCGGTAATATACCGCTTGTGCTTGACGACCCGAGATGGCTCAGTTTCTAGACCTTGTGCCCTCATGAATGTGACCGAATTACCGTGTTTCCTTCTTACTATAACCAAATTAACTGGTGCCCTTATTACTGTGACCAAAATAGCTTGTGCCCGTATCACCGTGGCCAAAATACCTAGTACCCGTAATACTGTGACCAAAATACCTTGTGCCCGTATTACTGTGACCAAAATACTCTGTGCGTGTATTAATGTGATCAAAATACAGTACATGTATCTGTATTAATGTGACCCTATTTCCAGTAACCAAATTTCCTACATCCTTTCAACTATATACTTTCGAGTGAGACTTATAGACCTTGTCACTGTCCAATCTATTTTAAGATCCCATGCAACCATTTAAGATAGCTAGCCAACTCAAAAACTGTTAATCGAAAAATTGTCAAATTCGAACTTGACCTTGATCTCATCATTGTAAATGATCAAACCAAAATTCATTCTAATGATAAAAATTGTAGTCTCTATTGTGTTCACAAACAAATTTTGACGTATTTTTACAATGTCATGGGCAATAGTTGCAAAAAAACATTAATCGGAAAACGTCAAATAAAACTTGATCAAGTTCTTATCATTATAAATGGTCACACAAGATTCATTAAAATCGACTTAAGGCTATAGTCTTAATTGTGCTCACAAATTTGTACACGTTTTCACGAAGTCAAGGGTATTAATCCCAAACCGTTCATCGAAAAATTGTCTCGACAAAGATCATAAATCATCACACCAAATTTCAGTAAAATCAGATAAAACCATAGTCTGTATTATGTTCATAACATCGTTGGACTGTAATCTAAAAGATAGCTTGTCAGGCAAGGTAATATACACCCACTGGCAGCTTTGATTTGATTCTGAATAAAAATATTTGGCAGTACAGTTACAATCACCAGTATGAAATATTCAACCTTTAGTCATACACTTCTTTTCAACTCTTTGGGGCAATACTGAATAATACTGAGTAAGGGTTATTTCCCTTGTTCTTGAAAACATGTGCAATATTTAGCTCGTGAAAACTCTAGGAGGCAAATATTCAACATTCAGCGCGGGACCGAATAATAAAACCAAGTTTTGTCAAAATCCGACAAGAATCGTGCCTTTTAGTGTTTAGAGCTAAAATTTGAAGCGTTTTCAAGAACGAAGTCAATAACTCCTATGAGTGTTTTCGAGCTACAAATTGAACGCATTTTCAAGAACAAGGGCATTAACTCATACTAAATATTTTTCGATCTTCTGATTTTCAATAGGGTTCATCCTTTTTTTGTCACAATCCGTCAAAAATTGTGTCTTGTAGAGCAGGCCTGTGCAACCTGCGGGTCAACTGCGGCCCGCGAGATGATTTCATGTGGCCCGCGGTGTCATGTAAAATTTGAAGGAAATACGGCCTGCGACCAAATGCTTCTTTGCTCTTGTCACTGTCGGTGTGGCTCGCAGATTATCACTGCCTATTCTGATATCGAAACCCGTTATATCAGCTCTGTTATATCAAAGTATGACGTCCAAATGAATCTAACCAATCAAATCGTTAACGAGGTCTGTGAAACAGTGATTTTACGTCAAATATGTCTGCTATTTGCAATGCACATTGAAATACGTTATTGAATAAATGACTTGAAAAAATTGCATGTTTCTCATTGTTAATTCTATGATCCATTTATGGACGGTTACGTGGCCCACAGCCTACTCGCATCCCCCAAATGTGGCCCGCCGTTGCGGAAAGATTGCACAGGCCTGTTGTAGAGTGTTTACGAGCAATTGTGGACGGACCGACGGACGGACATGGGTGATGGCAATATACGCCCTTCATTTCACGTGGGCGAATAAAAATGATCATGAATTAAATAGCCTAATTTATATTAGGTTTACTTCCGAGCGGGGGCGAATAGCTAAAATTGCCCGAATTTCTAACCTAGTTGTGAAATTTTTGCCCGAAAAACTAGCTTTAGTTTTTAGCAATTGGAAAAGAACGTTAATACAAGACTACCAAAGTTACAATGAATTAACGTCACAATAGGATGGATAGTCGGATTTACGTTGAACCAGTGTAAACATGGACCCTGATAAACAAAATATGTGACGAGAGTTGAAACATCGTGTCCATGCAAAGAGGTAAGTATATAGTTAAAAATATAAAATTAAGAAATTAATGAAAACTCATCTCTGGCTGTCGCCGATCTGCCTTCATAAAACTAATCTGCAGTATTATAGATAATGGGACTTAAAACTCAATTTCATTTCATTTTCTGTCCAGGTAAATCGCCACAAGAGAATGGTAAAGTCTTAAACATAAACGATTTGAGTACATGTGCTATACTTTTTAGGTGGGAATTGCGATACTCACCGTGTCGTTAGACAATGCAATACTCAGATGGACTACGGTTACCAAAACCCACCAATGCAGCAGATCAATCCACAAGGTGGCAGATATCCATCATTACCAAACCATCAATATATTTATCAGAATCAGCCATCAAGTAGCTATTCTCGTCAAAATGATTATATAAGACAAAAGCAGTTACCAAATAGTTTAAATGGGCAAACTCATCATAAAGAAGCACCCCGCGTCATATATGATCCTTACGACCAAAGTATGCTAAGGCAAGGTAGAAAAAGGCCATTCCTTGAAAACAGATCCCCTGAACCGCACCAAGAAGAACCTCAGGTACCTATTCCAACCTGTCAACAATATGTTCAAAATTTCACATCATCACCAAACAGCAAGCTTCAGAATCAAGGTACAGTATACAACGATCCTCAAGCAATCCATTTTAGAACAGAACCACAAGCTCGATACCAATATCTTCCAGAAGGCCACAGGACTTTACAGTTTCCACAAGAGAAGGAACCATCGCTTATCAGCAGGACATATTTAGAGGAATTTCTACCTATTGAACAAGGCATCCAAACGCCAATACCGATCCACGCAAGACCTGAATCAATGGAAGAATTTGAAAGTGAACATCTTAAACCTGGTCCATCAGAAATGTATAATTATTTGCCTGGTACAAGACGCGATCTTTCTTCGGCCTTTAAGCCATACATTAATTCACGTCTAAGGGAGAGAGAGCCTCAAAATCAATCAGGGTGCAGAGAGATGTTTCACTCAAGGCAGTACAATGATAGGCAAACTGGAGAAAAGAAAGATCCTTTTGACAAGAGGCTATTCAATAATCAGTACCATGCTAATACTGCCAATAGAGACAGGTTTATCATTCCCATCAGAGAAAACTCTGAGTTTGAAAACCAAGATAAAAGGAAATTAATTTCCAACAGGGTTCACGTGATAATGGAAGATGTCGATGATCCTTCTGGATTGAACTCTTCTACAAATACACATAAACCTTTGGAAACCTTAGAAACTGCAGAAAGAAGTCAAAATATGGACAAAATTATGTATGCCAAAAGGGTTGCGCATAAATTTGATGATGCTTCTAAGCAAATTATTATTCCCGCCCCTTCCAAGATAAAAGTTCGAACACAGCATGGTCACAAACACCACAAAACATCTCAACTTGCAGGAATGTTGAACCATGTAGCAGCTGGTGCATCCACTTTTGATGGTAATTCCTATTTAGTTCAATCAATGGTAGGAGGAGTGGGTGGTATGAATCCAATGCATACTGCTTATCAACAGCAATACTTTTATCCACCGATTGCCCAACCAGAATACCAATATATTCCCCAGTATGTCACTTACAACCAACCAATGCCTATTACTCCAAGTTATGTTCCTGAAAATGAGTATGGCGGAACATACTTTCAGCTAACTGGAACCAATCATGCATCATATAACCCAGTCAACGCGTATTTACAACAAACATATTCGGAATCTGATTACAGTGGACAATCTTCCCAAGAGGATCTTGGAAGTCATGGAGAGCGTTCAATGATAACAGATGGTAGTAAGAATAAAGATGAAATCCAAGTGTCAATGCCAGAAAAATTAGACACGCCAGCGTTTGGTGAGCATGACCTACTTGGTCTTACACGGAAAGAGTCACGTGAAGATACAATACAACCTAAACCGTCTATAAAAGCTGCAGTTGAGCAGCTTGAAAATAATGTTGAGGACCTGTTTCCTATAATTGAAAGTGAAGTGATGCCTTCAAGAATGCCATTTCCTGAGCAGCCGGAGAACATCCCTGTAAATGAAACTGGTCAAGATTCAATCAAAGGTTTTGACAGAATGTCGACTAATGAATCCTCCAGTCAACCCGATTTTGCACTCCCTGTTGATATCGAAGATGATTTTGAAGATTTTCTTCTCGGCACTGCAAAACCCATGGAGACTGGTATACAGAAATCAGAAAGGCCAAATGAAAAAGACATGTTTGATTTGGATGTGCTGTTTGAAGGCGACTTTTATAAAAGAGATATCATTCAGTACAAATCTTCTGATCATGAGAAATCAGAGGGTTCAAATTTTCCAAACTCTCAAAATACAACCCAAATAGATAGTCAAAACACCTTTCAAAAAAATGTAAAAGATAGGGAAAAGCCAAGTATTAACACTTCTGAAGATAATTATGATGATTTCATTGCTGAGTTGATGGGTGAGACCAGAGTTGCTGGGACTGGGACAGCACATGAGACAGCTGAAGAAATGTCAAATTCAATTCAATCAAGAAATAGAACCCATACACCTTCAGATGGTAAATGTCAAGATGTACAACCACCACAATTTCGTAAAGGAGAAGTGGAAGTCAGTCCAATTTTAAGTAACAGTGGAGCAGCTTCTGAAGATTTCTACAGTGAACTGCTCGAGGATCTCTTAGGGAACGCAGAGATAGATGGAGCTCAAAGTACAATGCCTGAAAATGAAGCAGCTGTTGATTTGAGCTCCAACTGCGACACATTAGTCCATTTTCATGAACCTCCAACTCATAGCCTACAAGACTTAATCAAAGATATGGGAAGCAGCGTATCATCAATTCTCAGTGATATTCTTAGTACCTCACATTGAAAAAAGACTTTGTTCTATTTTAAAATATCAAAAGCAAACAATCTTTCAGAATATTGTAATAAAATAAATATTGATTTACTGAATTACTGAATTATAACACCAGGTATAAAGATTAATAATGTTTATTAATATTTATAATAATGTAGTAATAGAACAATGTGCCAGCAACAGGAAAAAATCATTTTATTTTGATGTATTATAAAGGATTTGTTTCAGTTATTGCAATACATACATCTCAAATTCAGTTATCAAATTCACTTTTCAGAATGAAAATCAATTGGAAACATCACTTGATTGTAACACCCCAGCAATTATGTCATTTGTCATTTCTGACATTACTTATTTTTATTGATTGTATGCATATCATTTGTCACATTTTTTTCTGAAAAATGATACAGAAGGCTGAAATTGAGCTTTAACAACAATTAAGCAATTGATTAGATGGCTATATTCCTTTAAACTATTTCAAAATTTACCAAAGATTAATTCTCAAAGGAACAGAAATGAGACACGTTAAAATCAGAACAAAGAAAATATTGATCAACATAAATGTTTATAATAATGATCATGCATGCAACAATTCACCAAATACAACAAAGGTAGTCTGTGAAAATTTTGGAGTTAATTTTGATGAATATTCTCAAAACTTCAAAAGTAATCAGATCAGGACCAGGTCTATAGATAAGGATAAAATTAAGTTACAGAAGGGAAGGTTGAAGGTTTCAAAATTATAAGCTGACAACTGGAAATACATACCGGTATATAAATGGAATAAATTGAGTATTATTTCACATCTTTAAGTAAAGTTATACTGGTATAGGATACTTGGCCTCCGTAGTTTTTTTACTGGATATTGGCACCATCTATGAATAGTTCAATGCTAGAAACAGTCATATTTCCCGAACCATTTGAATATTGTAGTCTTTTTCTAGTGAAACCATGCATATTATATGATAATGATAAGGATTGGAAGATAAAAATAAGAAAGATTTTGCAAAGTATAGTAAGATACATATGATACATGCTTTATTTATATCAGTATATTTATATTTTACAGAGAGTTATTCAAAGATGAAATTCATAGTTGAAAGTAAAATTTCAGATTTATTGCATACTTTATACTAAAAGTAATTTTGTTTATATTCTACGACAGACATTTTATTTTAATCAAATTAAAGGTGTAACACATTGAAAATCTGCATACAATTGCTATCTACATTGTGCCATAAAACTTTGCGTAAATCATAAAAATTGGCATAAATAACAGTCATTTCAGCAGACAAAACATGGAAATGTAAGATAAATAAAATAGTAGATTAGAATGATCTCTCCAAAACACAAAAGAAAAGAAAAACAAATTGGTATAAAGAGACCTGAAGGGAAACGCCATCAGATAAGTGACTTTTAGTGTAGCTAGGGCTGCAACGATTCCTAAAGTGGCCGATGTATCGCGATTATTTTTTTCTTCCGCAATGCATCGATAAGAAGGAACGAATCGCAGTTCATCGATTCAACGGTGAATCGTTGCAGCCCTAAGTCACATATTACATCATTTCTGAGGACAATCTTGGCAGTGTCTTTCAAGAAAAAGACAAAGAGAGCTGTGATTTTGTAACAATAAAAATAATGACAATAAAGGCAATGAACAGAAGCACTAAGAGATGACATCATACAGAAAACTGCCTCACTAGAATTTGTTCAACTATATTACACATTACTGTGATGAAACTCAGACATCAAATATGTTATTTTTACACCTTTATCTGAGCTCATTAAAATGTCTTGGTAGTGAGCCGATTAGAATATCACACAAAGATCTTTGTCTCTTCATTTTTTTTTTTTTTTTTTTTTTTTTTTTCATTTTTAGTAAACTAGCGCTAGTAAGACAACTAATATTCTTCTTGTTCTTCTTCTTCAGCTGCATCTTCTGGTGGAGCAAAACCATCCTGAAATAACAATACTAATCTTATTCTCTCAGTTTAAACAGCCTTGCATTCCTATTTTAGAACAATGATAACATTGCATGCAAAGTTTCCAAATGTAACAAGAAAGCAGTTCCTTCCTTAGACAAAACCATATAAGTGGTTGCCTAGCAAAATACGCCCACTAACCTGATAAATTTTCAGTATATCAAAGGCAGTCGCCAATCTGTGTCAAATCATACCAAAAATCTAATTTCATAAATTTTGGACATAAACTGCCAACAAATTTTGATGCATTTTTTCTAAGTCAAGGGCAATAACTCAAAGATAGCTTGCCAGGCAAGGTAACATACGCCCACTACTAGCTGTCAGAAATGATAATGCCTAGTCCACACCTACGGCGAATTTTAAATCGGCGAACAAAGCGCCATCATTTTTTGTTTACTTTTCAAATGCTCTGATACGAATTGGTTACGCTTTGGGGACGAATTATTTCCCGATTTGATCAGGCCTTGTTTCGCTTTAAATCACGCTTTGATAAGCTTTATCACGCTCTGATACGATTATCAAGCTCTGTGCATTGTTAAGCTCTATTACGCATTGGAAAATTTCAAAATTGCCGATTTCATGCCGCTCTTGATCAAGTGGTGACAGACCGTGAAGATTGCGGTCCCCGCTTTGAATAAAGCTCTGTTAAGCTTTCCTACGCTTTGAGTCGAGCTTTGCTGAACTTTGTTAAGCTTTGATACGTTCTCGGCGCTTTAATCAATTCGTGACAGAGCACCCAAAAATTTTAAACAGTTTAAAAAATTTTGGCACTTTGCCAAATATCCAGCTTTGCTCAAACCTTTCCAACGATCTATTACGAACCTGGCGCTTTAATCGAGCTTTGTTACGCTTTGGTACCGCTTTGAACGCCGCTTTAAAGCGCCATCAAAGCGCCGTTGGTGTGAACTGAGCATAACAAAATATTAAGTGGCTTAATAATGAATTTTCAAATAATCTATAAGTCAAGGCAAAAACCTGAAACAGTTATCAAATTATCATCAAATTCAAACATGAACAATGTCTCATTACTGTACACACAAGGGCAATAACTCTGAAACTGTTCATCCGATTATTAACAAGATCTCATTAATATGTATACCAAGTTTCATCAAGATCAGATAAAAATTGTAGTCTCTATTGTTCCTACAAGCCAAATTTGACACGTTTTTACTAAATCAAGGGCAATAACTCTGAAACCAGCCATCCAATTATCACCAATTTTGAACTTGATCGAGATCTAATCAAGATATACATGCATATTAAGTTTCATTAAGATCAGATAAAAACTGTTGTCTCTAGTGTGCCTACAAGCCAAATTTGACTCGTTTTACTAAATCAAAGGCAATAACTCCGAAACCATTATTACCAATTTCGAACTTGACCGAGATCTCATAAATATATACATGCAAGTTTCATCAAGATCGGAAAAAATTGCAGCCTTTATCGTGCATACAAGCCAAATTTAACACATTTTTACTAAGACAAGGGCAACAACTCTGCAACTGTTCATCCGATTATTACTAATATCCAATATCCAATATCCAATGAGATCTCATCATGATAAATGATCACGCTAAATTCAAATTTAAATCGAGTGAAAACTGTAGTCTCTATTGTGTTCACAAACAAATTTTGACACGTTTTTCCTAAGTCAAGGGTAATAACTCAAGATAGCTTGCGATGCAAGGTAACATACGCCCACTGGCAGCTGTCAGAAATAATAAAACAGTGACTAGTGACTAAAGTACGAATTTTCTCATATTGAAGAAATTTTATTAGTTTGAATTCAATTACATATATATATATGCCAGTTATTTATGCTGAATAATTCAGAAATAATAAAACAGTCTTTAGTGACTAAAGTACGAATTTTCTCATATTGAAGAAATTATTTATGCTGAATAATTCCACAAAAGTTTTTAAAATCAATAATTTATCAATAACCCAAATATCAATTAAATCACACAGCTCTAATCAAGGGCAATAAACAACTTTTGACGCGTGTTTACAAAGTCAAGAGCAATAACTCAAAAGATAGCTTGCGTTGCAAGGTAACATACGCCCACTGGCAGCTGTCAGAAATAATAAAACAGTCTTTAGTGACTAAAGTACGAATTTTCTCATATTGAAGAAATTATTTATGCTGAATAATTCCACAAAATTTTTTAAAATCAATATCAATAACCCAAATACAACAAACAATTAAATCACACAGCTCTAATCAAGGGCAAAAAACAACTTTTGACGCGTGTTTACAAAGTCAAGGGCAATAACTCAAAAAATGTTCATCAAAAATATCTCTAGTTAGAACTTGTCCGAGATCTTATAAATTCCAATGATCACACCAAGTTTCATCAGAATCTGTTGAAAACTGTAGCTTCAATCCTGCTCACAAACTATTTTTAACAAATTTTGACGTGTTTTTACAAAATCAAGGGCAATAACTCAAAAACCGTTCATCAAAAATGCGTCAAATTCAAACTTGACCGAGATCTTATCAATCCAAAGCATCACACCAAGTTTTATCAAAATCAGATGAAAACTGTAGTCTATATAGTGCTCACAAGAAATGTTGACGGACGGACAGACCGACGGACAGGGGCGACATATTCATGTGGGCGTATAAAAAACTGTAGTCTCTATTGTGTTCACAAGCCAATTGTGGACGGAGGGACTAACATTATAATGTGGGCGTATAAACACAGACTAAAAGCGTTTTCATAATAGCTACATTATACTCATTGAAACAGTTAATAGACAATTCGAAATTGTTTTTCTAAACTAAGAAAGTAGATACTAATCAGTATTTTATTTCAAAATCATCAGATTACCTCTGTAGCATACAAAATTTCCATAATTTTATCAATTGGGGAAACACCTTCATTTTCTTGGCACAAAACTTCGATATCTCTTAATTTACCAAAATAAAAATCTCTCTCCTTTTCTAAACCTTCTTTTTCAATAGTTAACTGTGAAATCTGCAATAGAAAAGATAGCTTGCCAGGCAAGGTAACATACGCCCACTAGCAGCTGTCAGAAATGATAAAACAGTTTTTAGTGACTAAAGTACGAATTTTCTCATATTAAAGATTTTATTAAATCACACAGCTCTAATATGAAGTGTGAAATCGTTGAAAATTCTAAATTTACAAAATCTCATCAATATGAATAAAACGAAGTAAAACTCCATTCATTTCATTTCATTCACCATAAAAATTACATGAAATCTGTTGTCTCTATTGTGTTTATGAACAAATTTTGAAGCATTTTATCTAAGTCAAAGAGGACAAGAACTCAAAAACTGTTCATTGAAAATCGTCAAATTTGAACTTGATCAGGATCTCAATATAAATGATCACACCAAATTTCATTAAAATCAGTTCAAAACTGTAGTCTCTATTGTGTTCACAAACAAAATTTGACGCGTTTTTCCTAAGTCAATCGCAATAACAAAAAAACTGTTCATCGAAATATCGTCATATTCGAACTTGATCAGGATCTCATCAATATAAATGATCACATGAAATTTCATTATAATCAGTTGAAATCTGTAGTCTCTATTGTGTTCACATAAAATGTTGACAGACCGATGGACAGGGGTGATGGCAATATACGTAAAATAAGATATAGAGAAATATTATGACATTGAAAAGTGTTACACCCTTTCTACCCCAATTTTAGGCTACTGCAGGCAATGAAAGAAATTTTTACCAAGAAACATTTACACAATAAACTCACCTCAGCTTTTAATTCTTCATTCACTACATCACCATGATCATGATTTTGTATTCTTTGTACTGAAGCTTTAGGTGAAGGTTTAGTTGAGGGCTTTGATACAGCTAAAATAAATTTGGTCAACTTATGATTTCCAAAATAATATTATGTGATCAAAGAATTTCATACTGGAAATTTGAGTCATAAGCTTCTACCTATACTCTGAATAACTGTTACAATTCTTGATTACAATCTGTTAACTGATAGTCATATCCACTGTGATAATCCAACTAATGACAATATATCTGTTATACATAATTTGGGGAATACATTTTTCTTATTAAACTTGCTGTCTCTATAAAAGTATTTTGGTATCCACATAAGGGATGAGTGTAATAGATATTACATGTTTCAGGAGATTTTCAACTGGATTGTCTACTGACCTCTAGTGGGTGGTGTAGTTTTAGGGGGTTTATTAAATGCTGTTGTTTTCGCTGGAGCTCCTACAGCTTGCCCACTCCTTGAAGATAATGGATCATATTCTTGACCTGAATAATTTGCATCGAAAAACTTTTTAAACCACTGGACAAATTCAAAATTATCTTGAAATTTTCCTTTCACTAATCTTTCAACAGGAATCACCTGAAACCAAGAAATAACTATATGTGTTTATTATTATTTCAACATTAGAGACAAAGACATTTTGGAATTTTTCTACCAGGCTCAAAAATTCAGAAACATGCCTACGTTAGGTAAGCTGCAAATATAACAAATTGACTGCAACAGTACAGAGCATAACTACTACATTTCAGTCCAAATGCTTTTATGGAACCTTGAAATATTTCAAATGATCAAACTAGATTAAAAGTTCACTCCTTCTTTTTCCTGATATTTTCATTGTAATCTAGAATGTTTTTTACCACCTCCCAATCCATTTTAAGGGTTAAGTCTGCAAGTGAGTCTAGTTTTCTACAAAAGGCAATTTTCATAAACAGTGAGGTTAAATAATGAAATGAATAATAAGAGAAGTAAAAGGTGAAAATCATGCAAAATAAAAAAGTGTACTACAACAAGCTTGCTATAAACAAAAGGTATCATGAAAATGCAGGATTCTCTTCAAAAGATTTACAAGATTAATTCTGAGAAGTTGTGTTCCAAATTAGATATTTTTCATCAAAATAATTTATATTTGAGAATCAAGCATGTTTCTAACATGTAATCATTTTAAACTAATTGTGAATCAAAGCCAACTATATACTTCAATGAGATAAAAAAAAAAACAAATTTCACAAGGGTATAGGAGTCTAAATAATTGCTACTCCAGCAACGTTACATTGTACCATGCAGATATTCACAGATGAAATAACAGTCTGCACTTTATATAACTTGCATATCTAATTGTTTTTGTTACTAGATAACAAATTTTCATTCTGACGAGTGATCCACAACTTTGATGGCAACCATTTTGAGACACTTTTATTTAAAATAAATCAATGTTAAAGTAAAAGATCATGCTGACTTTGTTTCCATTGAGGAAAAAATGTGCAGCAAGACATAAAATGTTGTTTCTCTCAAAGTCATTTGGTTGGGCTCTTCTTTATATGTAGCTACTATTTATATATGTATCTATATATGTATAACTATTTTAATGATATGTAGCTACAATAATTGTTTTTATATGTAGCTACAGTATTGTTTTTATGGTATGTAGCTACAGTAATTGATTTTATGATATGTATCTACAATAATTGTTTTTATGATATGTAGCTACAGTACTTGTTTTTATATTTAGCTACAATAATTGTTTTTATATGTAGCTACAATAATTGTTCTTATGATATATAGCTAGAGTAATTGCTTTTATATATAGCTACAATAATTGTTTTCGTGATATGTAGCTACAATAATTGTTTTCAGGATAATTAGCTACAATAATTGTTTTCATGAAAATTAGCTACAATAATTGTTTTCATAATTAGCTACAATAATTGTTTTCATAACTAGCTACAATTGTTTACATGATATGTAGCTACAATAATTGTTTTTATGACATAAAGCTACAATAATTGTTTTCGTGATATGTAGCTACAATAATTGTTTTTATGATATAATGGTACAATACTTGTTTTCATGTGTAGCTACAATAATTGTTTACATAATATGTAGCTACAATAATTGTTTTTATGATATGTAGCTACAATAATTGTTTTCATAATATAAAGCTACAATAATTGTTTTTATGATATAATGGTACAATACTTGTTTTTATGATATAAAGGTACAATAATAGTGTTGATGATGTGTAGCTACAATAATTGTTTTTATGATATACAGCTACAATAATTGTTTTTATGATATGCAGCTACAACAATTGTTTTTATGATATGTAGCTACAACAATTGTTTTTATGATATGTAGCTACAATAATTGTTTTTATGATATGTAGCTACAATAATTGTTTAATGTATCAAATGAAAACTGTAGACTAAGTGAATAATAATTTCATTTTGTATGTTTTGGGAAATTGATTTTCACTTCAAGTGCTGAATGATTGTTTACTTTAATTCTTGTATCTGACCTGGATTCCTCATTCAACCCTCTCAATCTTAGAGCACAGGTATAAATCTTATTAGCAAGCCCAACACAAAAATGAAATGATTACAGTTTTAAGTAAGAAAAGAATTAAATGATAAATCACTCAGCCCTAAAAAAGATATTCATGCAGATGAGATTTTAAAAATCAGTACCATATATGCCCATATAAAAATTTGAGTTTAAACAACTGAGACCCAGAAGATAAATTTCAAAAGAAAATTTTCAATAGCATTGTAAATTTACAATGTTGTATGAGTCCTATAATACATGAAACTTAAAAGGTGATTTCCACAAACTGCATTAATGATGTTATTGTAAAAAACTTTACATTCATGTTTATTGGTTTCCTACTTGGTCGGTTTGGTGCTTTACAGCTTAGCAGTGTACTTTTTGGTGTCAAGAGTCTTGACTTAAGACATAATCAGAAAATAACCTCTCAGAAATATGTCAGACAAAATATAAAAAATTAAAAGCAGATACATGTATTTAAAATATTAGACATAATTAGAAAAATAAATATCTTAGTATTACTATTAAGAGACAAAATTGCAAAAACATTTTTAAATGTTAGACATAATAACCTCTATATATATAATATGCTAATAATATTTAATATATTAGATACGATTAGAAGTTACCTCTATAAAATTATAACATTATTAGACATGATTTTATGAAAATATTAAATAGTATTTTAACTATTAGATATGATAAGAAAATACTTAACTATACTTAGTATTTTCATATACTGGTATTCATATTTATTATCTATTTTGTTATAATACTTTTATAAACAGAAAAGCTCAGTAAAGTAAAAGTGAAAAATTTGAAATCAATTGTTACAGGATTATCTTATTGTTTTAAATCAATTCTGTCTGTAAATCATAATGAATCAAATTGAGATTACCTAAATACAGATGTTTTCTCATTTATTACATAGCACTTCAAAGAAATTCTTAATTTGTAGAAATCAGCTTTTTTTAGTCTATTAAAATAAAGCCTTGAAATTGATAAAATGATGATGTACGACACCAAATGTCTTGTAAATGGCTCCAGCTAGCCACCTACCTTATCTACCCCCAGCCGTGTGAAACTAGCTTGAAGGAACTTGAAATTGGTAATATACTCATATTCTAATTTTGTGTTAAATTTGATTTTCCTCAAAGGAATGGAGTCTGCAATAAAGAACAAACTAATTGCAATTCCAATTTGAAAATTTGTATGTATCTGTGTCTGTGTCAAGAGTTTTCCAAGAGACCTGAAACCATTCAACAATCAACATATTAGTAAATAATTAGTAATGACCTGGAGAAAAATTACCATATTAATAAATAACCTGCTGCAATCAAAACAATAATAACAGTGACCATATCATTACAATATAACCATCTGCAAACCAAGTATATGCAAATTGTGCAAATATGTTATTAAGTAAGTTGAAATTTTCAGCTGCACATATATATCTTAAATTCTATCTTTTGATAGTCTTACATATGGCAAGTTATCTTAGTATCTTTAATTTAATCATGTTTTAAAATAGTATTGCTTAAATCATTACCAGATGTACCAATATATAGATTACACTGGTTGTTTTCTTTTGATAGAATGAAGTCCTGAATTGGGTTTTATCTTAAGATAAATAAAGACAAACTTGTGATATGACATAAGGATTATCTTTGAATCAACTAATTAGTTAAATACCAGATACCAGGCAAAACCAATCCTGCATCGATGATATAATTCTAATTTATGTAAGCTTAGATATTCATTGTTGGAAGAATTATAATTTTAACAAAAGTTGAACAAATCCCTTCATATGAAATAAATAATTATGAAAGTGTGAATCTCAATATGCAGCTCAAAATTCCAACTAATTGGGCAAAAGTGTAGTCTAACACATAAACAACATAAAACAACAAAGCAAGCACGAACAATTAAGCAAGCAGGTGGTCAGGGTGCATGCTAGTTAGTAAGAATAGCGAGTGAATTAATGTAAACTGCAGTCCCTTGTTGTCTTTCATCTGATAATCTTCAGCCTCACCTTATCCACACTACATTTCTTGAAGGAGTTTTGCAGTGCCTTGAAATTAGCAATGGATTCATGTTCAAGTTTTGTGTTGAACTTAATTTTTTTCATTAGAATACAACCTGAAACATATTTAAGATGAATGTACACAAAGAAATGTTAAAACCTGAAAATCAAATTAATATAAGATGTATTGTGGACCACCATTTATCATCCTATAAAAAAGAACATACCATACAGTTAACATTGATTCTTTTACATAAAACAATAAACAATAATAAAACAAGCAGCTGCACAATCAGTCTGGGCCAGCACAAGAAAAGGTCAAATTGGTACAGATACAGAAGCAAAACTTATCTTGAATATTACCTTCATACTTTTTGTATCACATTCCAAATTTTATCTAATTCGATAAGAATTTCACATAATTCTACGTTTCTCGGTAACTTGTGATGTACCCAGATTACAAATTTAGCTCCAATGTACACACAATGTCATAAAGATCAAATTATAAATGGCATCCAAATGACCCAAAATTACTTATGCATGATAAATAAGCTTAAAAATTTAATTGCACTTGATATTATAAAGGACTTATAAAGAGATTTGGACATATTTTTGGAATGTTTTATTTTCATAACTATGGGCAGAATAATTAAATTAAGCTTTTATGTCATATTCAGCAATAACTTTCTTCTGATGTTTATTTTTTGCAAACTGCAAAATCAGTGACTTCTTATGCCACTAAAATCATCTTTCACTTAAAGGGATACTGCGTCTTAGAATGAACATAAAATTTAAGAATTTTAAACTTGGCCAATAAGAGCATATTTTCATCAGTAGATATACCTGGTGTCATAAATAACATAACAGGATCCTAATATAATCTGATAAATCTAAAACTTAATAATTATTCATAAATATGCAATTAACTATTGAAAAATGCTTAATATCAAGACTAAGCATTTTCAGTAATTACTTAGTTTTATGAATTTTCCAATTTTCGAGATTTTACAGGGATTCTGTTATAACTTTATGACACCAGGTAAGTTCACTGATGAATATATACTCATATTGACCATTCTTGAGAATTAAATTTTATGTTCATTTTAAGATGTAGTATCACTTTCAGTTTTGTGATTAAGGGTTACAGGAATTGATCTCCCCATAAAATTGTGTTTAGTTCTTTGGACTTTCAACTGTCTGACCTAAATAACTATACTGAGACCAAAATATAGAGTCAGTAATTTTCTGACTTCTTGCCAACATTGTGCATTCACAGATATAGGAAATCTTACCTGGAAATAATAGATCCATAAACTGGCAGTATGCAGCTCCTGTAATAGAGATGGAATCAAATGTTTGTTCACATTCATACTTTGAAGACAATCATTCAATGAAATAGGAGTTGAGACTTTTTACCAGGGACCATCCTCATTACAAGACATCTTCTTCCTACCAGTTTGATAAGAATACTTCAATTATATCCATCACGCATCTAAACAGCATGAGATGAATTCTTTTGAACATGTTTGTAAAAAAACCCTAAGAAATTTGAATTTCTTATACCAGTACCATACTATGGCACCATAATTAAAATTTGACTAACCTGAACATAATTCTTCTATTTTAGAGTAATTTGTTTCCAAAGAATCATTCACCCATTTTAATATATCATGACGACTTAGATTTTCTGCTGTAGCATTGGTACTGTATACATTGACTGCCATATTAATCTGTTACTTGTCTATCTACAATACATCATAGAAAATAAATCAATAAAAAAAACACCATTAGTTACTGTCAATATTTACTTCTTATTTCATGCATTAACAATGATGGAACTTTGAAATTACAAGAATAATTGCTCACAATTTGTCCAATATTAGTCTATTAGAGGTGTCACTATTAATTTGACATTGAACCCTAAAGATAGTTTGCCAGGCAAGGTAATATACGCCCACTGGCAGCTTTTATTTGGAATAAAAATATTTAGCAGTACAGTAATAATCACCAGTATGAAATATTCAACCTTCAGTCATACACTTCTTTTGAACTCTTTAGAGCGATACTGAATAATATTGAGTATTAGTTATTGCCCTTGTTCTTGAAAACATGTTTAATTTTTGGCTCGTGGAAACTCTAAAAGGCAAATATTCAATCTTCAACACGGGACTGAATAATAAAACCAAGTTTTGTCAAAATCCAGTAAGAAGATTGAATATTTGCCTTCTAGAGTTTTCACGAGCCAAATATTATCATGACTACAAGCCAAATTTGTAGGATTTTGACACAATCAAGGGTAATAACTCAAAAACCATTCATCTGATTATGACAAAATTCAAACTTGACCGATATCTCATCAATATATACATGTATACTAAGTTTCATCAATATCGGATAAAAACTGTAGCGTTCATTGGTCATACAAGGCAATTTTAACGCAATTTTACTATGTCAAGGGCAATAACTCTGAAACTGTTCATCCGATTATTACCAATTTCGACCGAAATCTCATCAATATATACAAGCATACTAAGTTTCATCAAGATCGGATAAAAATTGCAGCCTTTAGCATGCATACATACGTGTTTTCCTAAGTCATGGGCAATAACTCTAAAATCGTTCATCCGATTATTACCAATTTCGAACTTGACCGAGATCTCATCAATATATACATGCATACTAAGTTTCATCAAGAACAGATAAAAATTGCAGCCTTTATCGTGCATACAAGTCAAATTTAACGCATTTTTACTAAGTCAAGGGCAATAACTCTGAAACCGTTCATCCGATTAATTCCAATTTCGAACTTGACTGAGATCTAATCAATATATACAAACCAAGATTCAAGATCAGATAAAAACTGTAGCCTCTATCATGCATACAACAAATGTAGACTGACGAACGGGGGCAACAGCAATATACGTCCACATTTCAATGTGGGCGTATAAAAACTAATCTGAGTCTAATTTTCAATTCAACTTGACAGACCAAAATATCATGAGGTTAAATTGGTAGTAGTCTTAAATTACACTTGTCAAAGATATACAAAATGTCAAATTCAACACACTATCAAACCTAGACCTGACATGTTCTTTCAAGGTTTACTAAGTAAACAAATAACCAAATAAAGAAACTTAAGTTCAAAGAATATGGAAGGGAATCTGTAAAGAAAAAAATATAAAAAAGGGGCCTGGAAATATAATGCTATGAGTATCATATTTAAAAGGCACAATTTAGAAATAATCAAAGAATAAGCTATTTGCATATGAAATCATTGAACTACCAAACTGTTGGCACAGATGAAGCTTTTAGTGTTGATAGGATATGCTCAATTTTATTATTATGAAACTTGAAATCTACAGAGGAAATTATTGAAGATTATAATAGCTTCATGACAATTTAAAGACAGTGACCTACTGTAATTTAGAAGTATAAGCCAAGGTACATCTAAAAAGTCCATCCAGTCATAAAAATTTGTCAAAATCAGACGATTCTGAATTAAACGGAGGTTTTCTAGCCTTTTTATGTGTATCAGGGACACCTTTGACTTCAATTTAGGACATTCCAATTCTTCGCCTGATGCCTGTGGTTCCTACGATTACAATTATTTATATTTTACATATACCATAATAAAACAACCATTATGATTATTCCAGTAGAATATATTTTTCAAATATAAACTATTTCTTCTGGCATATTTTTCAATTACAGAGTGATTTGAAAATGTGATAATCACTACGCTGTTCTAGCCAATCAAAATCAATCTTAAGACAGTGTCATGTTCCTTTGCCAATTTTCCAGGTAATAATATGTCAGCCTTTAATGGCCAAGTCAATGTTCAACTCATGGAAGCTACCAGACAATTGCCAAGGTTTCATGTTGGCATGAAATTTACATTATTTCAAGCTCTAAACCTCAAAAGAAAATTGTTAAAGCAGACTGTATCTTTAAGAGCTGAGCATTTGCAAAGACATCTTTAATTAAAAAGTGAATTTGTCATTGTGCCAGTAGGAAGTTGTTAATGTTACACAATAAATTATCATAGGCCTAGTAGGCCTATTGTAGATCTTACTCAGTCAAGTAACCTAATTTCGTGGAAACCTATTATTCGTGGATTTCCGGAAAGGGCCTTGCGCGACCTCCGCATTAGTTTGTTTTGATAAACATGGGTTTTCTCTACAATATCAGCTAGTAGAATGAATCCAGTAGTTTCAAGCAAGGTAAAATGTATTAATGTATACTTTGACAAATACAAAATGGCGGATTTCACTTATTACCAAACGTCACCATTTTTTATCGGCCGAATTTCCTTATAATCCCAAGCTGTAATCGGAATTCCAAGTGTCATCTGCTAGAATGTAGTCCAAGGAATGAAGTCACATGATCAACTAGCAGATTCCGTGTCAGCAGAAAATTATTATGGAACACAAAGGGGACCATATTCTTATGTTGTTTCAGTGACTTTTGGCAATAAATCACGCTACGTATCATATTTTGTCAGTCACTATTTTTTTTTTAAATCGTGGTTCTTTGAAGGAATTGTCACTAGTTATAATGAATTGATATTAAAGATAAATACTAAGAGAAGTTAATTATACCACCCGGTATCCATACAATGTGTTTTTCTAGACTTATTTATAGATCAAACATTGTACACGAAAATAGATGATGCATTCTGCCGCCGTTGCGGAGTTGGTTGTTCATGAAATATGGGTCAAAGTGAAGGATTCATAAAGAAAATTGAAATAAAACAATTTTAATTATTTTGTAGAATATCTGAGGAAACCTCTAAGACATAAAAATTTTTTTCCTTTTGTTTTTAACTTTGACGAAATTCAGTGTTGAATCCTTCTATCCACGAAAATAGGTTACACCACTCTATACAGTCAAGTAACCTAATTTCGTGGAAACCTATTATTCGTGGATTTCCGGAAAGGATTAATAATTTACATGAGCGACCTTGCACGACCTCTGCATTAGTTTGTTTTGATAAACATGGGTTTTCTGTACAATATCAGCTAGTAGAATGAATCCAGTAATTTCAAGCAAGGTAAAATATAATAATTTTGTATACTTTGACAAATACAAAATGGCGGATTTCACTTATTACCAAACGTTACCATTTTTTATCGGCTGAATTTCATTATAATCCCAAGCGGTAATCGGAATTCCAAGTGTCGTCTGCTAGAATGTAGTCCAACGAATGAAATCACGTGATCAACTAGCGAGTTCCGTGTCAGCAGAAAATTTCTATGGAACACAAAGTGGAACATATTCTTATGTTGTTTCAGTGACTTTTAGCAATAAATCACGCTACGTATCTTATTTTGTTAGTCACTATTTTTTTTTAAATCGTGGTTCTTTGAAGGAATTGTCACTAGTTATGATGAATTGATATTAAAGATAAATACTAAGAGAAGTTAATTATACCACCCGGTATCCATACAATGTGTTTTTTTAGACTTATTCATAGATCAAACTTTGTACACGAAAATGGGTGACGCATTCTGCCGCCATTGCCGAGTTGGTTGCTCATGAAATATGGGTCAAAGTGAAGGATTCATAAAGAAAATCGAAATAAACCAATTTTAATTATTTTGTAGAATATCAGAGGATACATACTAATTTTTTTTTTGTTTTTTTTAACTTTGACGAAAATTCAGTGTTGAATCCTTATATCCACGAAAATAGGTTACACCAATGTACTAAACTAGATTCAACAATTGTTACATCTAAAAAATAGGCTAAATGTTAATGATGCTGAGTCTCAGTCTAGCATATGATAATTTTCACTATTCAATATAAATAAAACAATGTGTTCCGGCACTTATGTTTGTTGACGTTGTTGCCAGTGTTTTGGTGAGTGATCAATTCAATGCATTTTCAATCAAAGGATAGGACATAAAATTTTCAATCTTTTACACTCACTTTGCTGGAAAATCTGGGTTCTGAATCAGTGATAACGGAATAAACAACAGGGTAACTTTCCAGGATAACTTACCAACAATTTACAAAACAGTTTGTGATTGTGAAAATAAAAATATCACTGTCAAAATAATTGTGTTTTAGGTGAATCACCGGCGTTTGATAAGAACTTTACGCACCCTTTTTCGGCTCAAACTGCAAGGCTCCGTCTGTTCCGGTTAAAACTCTTGATCATCAAGACCTAAATCATAACCAAGCACACTCTTCTATTAAATATAGTCAGGAAACACGCGTCTACAACGACGATTGCTTAAAAATTCAACTCTAATCAAGCTTGTAATGCGAATGTTTGTGAAGTTTACAAACTAACAAAAAAGCATGATTATATTTCTAATTTCACTTGGATGTATAAGTTACCATACATTATACATTGATCGATACATTAAGAAAATTAAAGATTGATTAAAATTCTACAAATGTACGAAACAAATAGACTTTAGGGTATTCTGGTAAATATCGTTCCCGAGGGTTTTAGTTTAAAGCACGGAATTTATTATATTATAAAAACAATTTCCATAAATTTTAATTAAAATGTGACTTGCAATCTAAGCAAAAGTTTCATATTACAAATTTCAAGACGACATCAGGTCGATCTGAGCGAAAAACCAGTATGGTACTGAAATATGATTTTTTTTAAAAGTTCAAGGGAGGTGATTATACCAAAAATCAAATATTGATTAAATTGAGATTACCTTTGATCAATCTATCAGAGACACCATTATAGACTACCGTCTAAAAAAATAAATTTGATTCAGGGAGATTTCTTAAAAAAATAAATTAATCCAGATTTGGCTATGGAATGAAAATTATTCTAGAAAATTTAGAAATGTATGTATGCAGTAAGCAAAATTTTGTGTACTAATTGTTTGGGCAGTTTAAACTAGTTTTGGTGTTTGGCTTCATAAAGACTCGATAATTTTAGTTGAAACCTTTTTAGAGACATATTTCTCGACAACTATATTTTAATTTGTTACATTAGTTTTCCAGGCTAGTCCTAATACTTTTAGAATGATATCTAGATCTACAAGTGACAGAGTGTACGTATCAGACATCCTTCCCCCACTACATGCGCTAACAATGCAGAAAAATGTTTTTATTTACATATATAAATTGCTTCTCAGATTATGACATTCATAGAAGTCTACTTCTAGTCGTTTTTTTTTTTTTTTTTTTTTATAATATATTGATTGATTATTTTTCTAAATCATACCATACTGCGGCAATGCTTTAACTCTACTGCGGTATCACCATACCATCCGGAAGTTGACATTTTGCACTATCATAAACGATTTCTTAATAGTTAATATCAAGAGGGGGGTATTTCATATTATATTTACGATGGAGTGTTTGATAGGGTTACAGGGAAAAGATTTTATACTTGTGGCATCAGACACAATGTCTGCAAGAAGTGTAGTGTCCATGAAACAAGGTAAAGTATTTGTTAACAGTGAACACTGAATTGTGAACAATACATACGATACATAGCCTATACAGTCGAGTAACCTAATTTCGTAGAATATCTGAGGAAACATCTAAGACATCAAAAAAAAATTTGGTTTTTTTAACTTCGACAAAATTCGGTGTTGAATCCTTATATCCACGAAAATAGGTTACACCACTGTATAACTTAAGGATTTAACATCGAATTTCGTCAAAATTAAAAAGAGCAATTTTTTTTTCATGTCTTAGGTAGTGCATATAAACAGGGTTTTCATGCATTGACATACCTACTACTTATCGAATATGCAGAAATTGAAAAGATCTTGTTAACTATTGCAATCATTTACTTTTACAGATCAAGACAAAATGTTTCCTCTAAGTGATAAATTGTTAATGTTGGTATGTGGAGAGTCAGGTGATACAGCTCAGTTTGCTGAGTATATTGCTAAAAACATTCAACTGTATAAGATGAGAAATGGTAAGTAATTCTTCTTAATATAACACAGTCTTGTTAACACAATGTGATTTATTGAATGACAATCTATATGTTGTTGTCGCTTGATATTTTTTCTGTTCTCAAAATATGATGTCATGATCTCATCATAAAAAAAAGGCTATTAAGAAAACAAAATAAGTTGTAACTCATAGTGTCACTCTCACCTGATTGAATTTAAAAATACAGTGATTTCATGTATTTTAACAGGTTATGAACTGTCTCCACATGCAGCTGCCAACTTCACTAGAAAACAACTAGCAGATGCCTTAAGAAGTCAGGTAAGATGTGTAATCAGCGGATAATCTCTGTGGTATGGCAGTTAACATACTCCTGTTTGAAATAGAAATCTCTCAAGACTTCATAGAAGTTATAATCATTTCCCCATGTAAATGTATTGCTGATATTATGGTATCATTTGAATTCCAATCTAAAGATTAAAACTGATAGTTTTTATGAGGTTTATCAGATAGTAAACAATATTTAATAAATATTAAGATTTCATGGTTTTCTACGGAGCCCCTTAAGCGCAATTTTCAACACTTTTTATTATTATTTCGTTTAAACGAAATAATTAACGAAATAATAAATAAATATGTTTTCAAATATTTTGGAATTTTTATTCTTTTAAATTGTTCAATATTTTGTATGAATTAGCTATTATTATTATTATTACTATTAATGATATGTGTAGGGAAATTTATGCAGTTGATTTATGTGTCGAATTTTTAATGCATATATTTTTTCTCAGATTGAAATGAAATTTGGTGTGATTATCTATTATAATAAGTCCTTCGTCAAGTTTAAATTTGTCGATTTTTGCGATGAACGGAATGAGAGTTATTGCCCTTTACTTAGTAAAAATGCATCAAAATTTGTTGGCTTGAGAACACGATTGAGGTGACAATTTATGTAAGAATTTTATGAAATTTTGTACAGATCAGATTTTTGATACTATTTGACATAAATTGGCGACCACTTGATATATGTGATATATTTTAGACACCCTACAATGTAAACATGTTACTAGCTGGCCATGATAAAGAAGATGGTCCAAGTTTATATTATATGGATTATTTAGCATCATTAAATAAAGTGCCATTTGGTGTCCATGGTTATGGTGGTTTTTTCTCCTTATCAGTTATGGATAGATACTATCAAAAAGGTATATTGCATTGAGTTAATATCCATAAGCATCATGTAAATACAGTACTTATTTATATTAGTTTGTACAGGTTTCAAATGAGATGAAAAGAGATTATGAAGTTTGTAATATAAACACAATTGTATGAAGGAGTTAGTCTGAAAATTGTCAAATCAAGTCTCTGTTAGCTAAACTTATTCACAACATTTTAAATGAGTCTGGGGAATTTTAATATTTCTGACAAATTGAGAAAAAAAAAATCTATTAAATTTTGTTATATATATATCCCTATTTTTTTTTTTATTAGATATGAATCAAGATGAAGCTATGAAGTTATTACAACAATGTATAGATGAGGTAGAATGCTTTGTTTCTATGCTTTATTACTTCAACATTTTATTCATCATCTTCTAAAGGAGAAGTATACCATAAATTGAGTTAAAATGTCACTCAAGGATTATTCATCATCTGGTTGAATCAAAAAAGAAATCAGCATATCCACAGCTGAGGTAGAAAAAAGATCCATCAGATTTGTGTAATATGACCTTGTCCTACTTTTAACCAGTCATAAATGTACAGTTGTGTATGTTTTGGGTTTGTAAGGTGATAAAACTCAATTTATGTGTGGGTGTTAATTCTGAGGCGAGCTTTAAAATGCTGTTAATTCGTAGCCTGAACACATTTAATTGAAAATCTTTTTCTTTTCCAGTTATCAAGAAGATTTATTGTGAATTTACCCACATTTAATGTTCGAGTAGTGAACAAAGATGGAATTAAAAACCTAGGAATTCTGAAGGCAAAACCGACATCATCTTAAGTGACTACATAAACATTAGTGCAGATTAAAGTGCATCAGTTGACATTAAAATCATTCATATTATATGTTGATTATATTCATTTCTGGCATCAAATAAAGTGTTAATGCTGTTCTCCTTATGGGTATTGAATTTATTGTTATCAACCCA